GGCCACAGGCCAGGGGCACCAGGCCAGTCCTTCCCTGGGGTGGCAGCCCTGAGCAGGGGCAGAGGGAGATGGGGACAGGAGTGCTGTGACCCATGTGGCCCTTGAGGATGAGAACATAAAGAGACACAGCTGGGGTTAGGAGGCGCCCTTATGCTCCTGATGGGAGGAAGGAACTGCCTTGGAACCGTGCACAGCACCACTTGGCTCCTCTGTCAGCCCTCTGAAACAGTTGTGGCCATTGCCAGGCAGCTGCTTTTTTCTTCATCAATTATAGTCCTGTCCAATTATCCCAAAGAGATTTTCGTTTAATTATCTTAATATAATTTTTATGACTTATGAAAACCCCAATCATAGCATTTAACTCATTAATTTTTAAACAGTGAGACTCTCAAGTCAATAATAAACAACAATACATATTATGTTTACAACCAAGTGTAGCATCATTTTGACCAGCTGGCAAAGCAAGTAGAAGCGTGCTCTCTAAATCTCTAAGCCAAGTAAACCTTGCATAAGTGACTTGAAAATGCAAAAGGAAAAGGAAAAGAGCTGGGGATTCAGCTCAGTGGCATAAGCACCTGCCTGGCAAGTATGAGGTCATGAGTTCAATCTCCAGTACAAAAGAAAAAAAGAAAGAAGAGAAAAGAGAAAAGATTGCTGAGCTAGAATGAAAAAGAACAGCTGTTCACAGAATGGACAAATCCATAAACATGGACAGACAATCTGTACAGATTGGGACAGACATAGGGACAAGCACACAGCTTGTGGGTGTCTGTGAGAATTCGCGAAATTTAGGGGGGACTATTTATACACTTGTATCACACCCCTTAGCTGAACTAGCTTGCTTCTTATACCCCTTTTCGGGGGACTAAAACATCTGTTCACCTCCAGCACCCCATGCCTTCAAGGTATTTCTTGATGCTCTGTGCCCTTGGGCACTTGTGCTTTTGGCTCCACAAGTGGGAATGAGCAGTAGCTCAGTGACACCCAACAACCTCTTAACAGACTGCACAAATAGACAAATACACAGGCAGATTAGGGGCTGGGGATTTAGCACCTGCCTTACAAGCAGGCAGTTGTGAGTTTAATCCCTGGTACCGAAAAAGACAAAAAAAAAAAAAAATACACAGGCAAACTGACAAACACTTGATAAAATCAGAGTGCATGCAAATATATTTTTAACCAAATTGAATTACGGTAATTGTTTTATAAATTTAGAATTTATAACCATAAATTCACTAGTCAATTGTTATAGGTCATTTAGCAGAGATCTTATATAAAAGGATTTAGAAAAGATCAAGAATTTTTTTTTTTTGAGACAGTTTTGCTATGCAGTTCAGGCTGGCCTTGGGCTCACTTTGTAGCCTAGGCTCGTCTTAAACTTGCAGCAATCCTCCTGCCTCAGCCTCCTGAGTGCTGTGATTACAGGAGTGCATCACCATTACCCAGCTACAAATCTTATCTATAATAACATATATTTTTGTATTTTATCTTAAGAATACTAGTAACTGGGGCTGGGGATTTAGCTCAGTGGCATAAGCGCCTGCCTTGCAAGCAGGCAGTCATGAGTTCGATCCCTGGTACCGATAAAAACAAAAAAGACAAAAAAAAAAAATACTAGTAACTATTTGTGTCTCCTTCTGTCATTAAACTTTCAGTTTGGTTATCTCTAAATACTCTTATCATCTATTTGGATCTTTGGTTTTCATTTTTGGTTACCACCTTGTTAGCATCCTGCGTCAATTCCTTCAGTTGGCCCCAGGTCTGGCCTAACGCCATCCTTTTCTATCAGTCGTGGTCTCTAAGGTGTCACTGTCACAGAATTGAGCACCAGCTTCTTGAGGTGGAATCAATTTCTCTGGGTCTGGGTCCTTGATACAGCGGACAGCACACTCTAGCACCCAGAGAGGCCATTCAGCATTTTCTGGAAAAACACAAGCACACCCTCGACCCCACATTAGCACTGGACTGGGTGCTTTGATTGTCCACTGTGAAGTTCTTTCCAACGGACCCTTGTTAGCCTTTATTTGATTGTGTTATCTTTCAGCTGCGGTATTTCTATCTTTATTAGAATTTTAAAAATTTATATGGTATATGCTGCCAAGTGAAATCTATTATGAGGTGAACCCCCCTTGTCTTTGAAATTTCTATCATGAGCATGTTTAACTATTTAGGCCCTCGGAGCCATCGGTTGTTCCCACCTTGGGCTGCAGCTCTGTCTGTCTACCTGGAGGTAGTGTCTGTGGCCGGCTGGTGTACACGCAGCCTTGGGGAAATCCTGGGCCACTGTCACCGCTAGCTGAGCACCGGGCACTCAGGCTGCACTCCTGCTCTGGCCCGGAGGCCCAGCTGCTACTGGGGATCCGAATGCTGGTGCAGACCATGGGAAAAAACAGAGGCAACTTGGGTACCCAGAGCCCTGGGGTGCAATCCTGGTCCGGGACTGAGTCCTGCATTGTAACCTGTGGGCTGGCCCTAGAAAGGCTTGGTAGGCCCAGGTGGAGTTTGTCCTTCATTGTGTTGTGGGAAAATTCCCAAGCCAAGGCAAACCAGATTGAAAAGAGGACTCTGTTCCAAGGAGATAAGAAGACATCATTTAATCTTTACCCCTGCGGACTTTATGCAGTGCAGTGCTGCGGGAATCATTCCTCAAAAGCAAAAGCACTGAATTCAGGAAGAGTTTAGTTCATATAGAATTTAAGAGTGGGAGGTACAGAGCAAGTGACAAAACGTTACAGAATTGGTTACATACATGGAGTCATACGCTGATAGGCAGGCTGGTCTTGAAACAGTAGAAACACCCGGAAGCCAGGGGAGGGGCCTTACAGAGTGAGAGCAGCGAGGGGCATTACCATAACACAGGGGCAGCCCAGTGTGTCACAAGGTACAGACAGTTACTGTGACTCAGTGCTCCTCAGAGGTGTGCAGCTGGGCTGCAGTCACTACCAAAGTCAACTGGATTCATCAGAAGCTTGGTCAGAGCCCTCTAACTGATCATGAAATATCTATTAGTTTGCTGTCTCCTAAATGTGTTCCTGCATTATAATTTGCCTCAGCAAGCACCGGGGAGGTAGGGCTGTAAACCCCAGCTCCCAGTGCAGGTCCAACCTCACCAAGCCAGGCAGGGCCAGGCCAGCTCGGGGAAGTTCTCCAATACCATTTATTTGCATTTCTAAACGTAAAATCTTGAAAAGGTTTTAGACCCCTTGGGCTGGAAGTCAAATCAGTGGATGTCATATCTGGTGAGAAAGTTCCCTCCATTCCCTTGATCAAATATGTGCAAAGGAGAAACAAGTTGAGAGCTGGGGATTTAGCTCCTGCCTGGCAAGCATGAGGTTGTGAGTTCAGTCCCCAGTACCAAGAAAATATAGTAAGTTGACTGTGAGAGGCCAGATCTGTGCACAATGCAAAAAATTTTCTTTCCACAACAAATGATTCCCCAGACTTAAACATGCTTTAGCTATTTCTTTCCAATCATTTGGAGCCACAGTCTGTCATCTTAGAACTTTTATAAAGCCCAAAGCAGATGGGCTGGGGAGGAATTGAGGAAAGTGCCCCCATTGTTTGGTGGGGCCGAGGAAGGTCCCCCTAGAGGTTTTTCTGGAGCAGGCAGGCTTTCACATCAGTTTTGAATTTACACTGAGTGGCTTAACGATACCATCGGGTCTACACTTTGGACAGAGTTGAAGGCTTTGTTGAAGGACAGTTAGTGGTTATGTTGACCACATAGGTGCAGCAACACAACTTTTAGTGAAATGCCCCCTCTCCTAGCAACAAAAACAAGTAGCTTTGATTTTTCCTCTTCCTTTAAGCTGTGAACCGATGAGCTGAGTGATTTTAATTTAGCTCTAACTATTGGGAATTTGAAGTTTAGTAACCCAGTAGATATGCTGGAAACCCACCCATCTGGCTTCTTTTAGTGCCAATTGTAAGGATGTGAAGAAAACTACTCTACTCCCTGAGAGGCAGAAGCTTTAATCTGCGACGAAGCAAGATTTCTCTGAGCTGAAAAGTTGGAGATAGCTGCTTGTGGCTCAGTTAAAAATATCAGGTGTTGTAAAACAAAATTCGCAGCATAGCTCTTCTCTTGTGGGGAGGAGTTACTCCCCATCTCTCTTTCCTTACCTAACTGAGCAAGATTACAAAGCTTACTAAACTTTGTCAGAGTTTCTGTTACTCTGGCATCTCTTCCCTGCTTGGGACTTGATTTTAAAATATTGCTCTGAGCCAATTTCCTTGTGGCCATCCCAACAAGCCCACAATCATGAAAACATTTTCTAATCAAAATCCACAGAAGAAAAGTAAATACAGGAATCAAGCATACAACAAACATTTCCAGGTACATTTGTCTCTTTTTTTTTTTGGTACTTGGGATTGAACTCATGACCTTGCATTTGCCAGACAGCCTCTTATGCCTCTGAGCTAAATCCCCAGCCCTTCATTTGCCATTCTTTAACAGTTGTTTGTTCCATAATTACACCACTAATGAAATCAATACACCTGTTTATTTTTTTCCCGGGAAGAGGTTTCTCACAGGCCTGTTTATAACTGCCCCTAGAGAATACGGGAGTTTCAATGCCCCAGTCTACACCTGATGAAGCCAATAGCAATACACTCCAGTGATGACTATTGATCTATACCAATGTACTTCTCCCCCTGATTGCGGGCAAATGAGAAGTGTCCCTTCCCCCTCAATCTCTTATCCTGTCCCTGTTTGGGGACCATATGCCACAACCCATGCAGCCCTTGAGGTTCCTGGGGTGAAGGATCATGAGAGGATGAAAAAATAAAGAAGAGACAAAGCCCTTATCTTGCTGATGGGAGGAAAGGAACTGACCCTCAGTGCAGACGTGTTTATTTACATCTTTTAACAACTTACTGTCACATGACACTCTGGGGTGAAGGGTGCTGTACTAAGGCAGGGAGGGGATGTGGGGAGGGTCTAAGCACATGGGTATAATAGTGACACAAGGATCCAGGAGGAGGGTGAAGCTAGAGTTGGGGTCTGTCTGAGAGAATCAGCACAAGTGTCTCAGATGAGGTAACTGATGGCCATGGTTTTGAAGTAGGGGTAGGAGCTCACCAAGAGGCTAAGGAAAGAATGGACAGCAGGTGGTACAATCCAGGGTGTAGCCTGGAGTTGCAGGATGGGAGGCAGTGACAGGATGTGACCAGAGAGTGGCAGAGGGGTGGAGGCATGGCTGGCCTGGCTCTGGAGGGGGCTTTGCTGGGCTCCTGGCTGGCAGTTGAGATTGCCTTACTGGGTTTAGCCTCAGTCACTTCCTGCAGCACTTCACTTCCCTTTCAGCGTGTGTCCGTGAAGCAGCCCTGCGGCAGGGCAGGAGGGAACAACCCAGATCTGTCCTGCCACTGCACTATGTATGCCATGCACAGGGTGCAACAGTGTCCCCAGGCCACAGGGACTTCCCGGGAGGATCCTGAGGGATACTGTGCTCCCCTCCAGGGACACCAGACAGGACCCTGCTGTCCGGTCCTTTGGGCCAGGAGGCTCTGCCCCTGCAGGCTGTGTCCGGCATCCTCCAGGGACAGCGAGCATGGCGTGGCTTGCGAATGGCTGGTGGCCCTACTAAGCGGGTTCTGCTGTCCCCCACCAGCACCCCGTCCCTCCTGCACCGGCCCCTCAGGTCCCCTGGTCCCGAACCCCAGGGAGCAAACTTGGCCTCTACCCATCTGACTCTGGCCTGTGTCACGGAGCTGCTGCAGATGTCACCGTGGGAGTGCGGCCCACGGCACACAGGGACCAAGTGACCCAGGAAGAGGTCAGTGCCCTCTGCTTCTCCAGAAGATGCTCCAGGGGCCGCTACCACAGTCCTCTTCCGGTCACTCCAGGAAGCTCAGCTGCTGGTTTGTTTGGCCCCAGAGATCCTCAGGGAGGGCTGGGAACACAGCCTTGGCTGGGCTGCAGGGGGAGGAGGACCTGCTAGGGGAGGGGCTTGCCTTGTCTTCACACTTACCCACCAGGGGGCTGAGACAGGGGTCAGGGCCCCAGATGCAGAGAGAGGCCACCCACACTCTTCTCAGGGACCGGGTCATTCTTGTCCCCAGCATTGTGACCAATCCCTGCACTTCTGGGCTGGGCACAAAGACCTTGAGATTTGCCTTCAGCTGCTGCGAGTGACCGATGGGCCCACTGCCCACTTGGCACCTGTGTGACCCAGTCCCCATGCTGGGTTTGGCTGGGGCTTGTATGTTGGCAGCCAAGCCCTCCCTGTCCCTGTTCCTGAGGGTGAGCGTGCCCTGTGCTCCAGGTCTCCCTACTTTTCGGGGCCTTGCAGGGAGGGGGTCTCTAGCTCGAAGAGCACTGGGTGATGCTCAAGGGGCACACTGGGCGCTGGTGCCTCACAGCCCCGGGGCCCGCCCGGCTCCCCCCAGGGCCCTGGGACAGGAGCACAGGGACCTGCTGCTCTGCCAGGGCCCTCGGTGGGGTAGAGTGGGGAGGACCTGGGACCAGGCGCTTTCCTCCTGGAAGCTCCACCCGGCACACTGGATTCAGGCCCTGCACAGTGATGTCCTCCCTGCAGCCTCCTCCCAGCAGAAGGACCTGACTGGCTGTGTCCCGGCAGCTGGAACAGCCCTGCCCTACTGCCCCGCCCACGTGTGCACACACTGAACTGCTGCTGTGGTTTCCTTCACTGCTTGCTGTCCCCTCTGCCTGTCCCAGCTGCGAGTCTCACCACTCCTGCTGCCACCAAGTTGCCCACCTCGGGCTGGAGTCCAAGTAAGGTGCGGTGGCCGGAACCTTATCGAGGTCACATGTTTGCCAGGGTGGAGGGCCGGGTGGGGGATGCTTGGCTGCAGGCAGTACTCTTTGGCACCCCATGTGCCCTGATGGGCATGGGTGGCAGGGCCAAAGCAGCAAGGCAGGGGATCAGGACCTGGGACTCAGCCCTGGGACAGACTCTAGAGCCTGGTTCTCTGCTGTCCCCTGCTCTTGCCTCACCAAGGCAGGAGGCTGGCAGGTACTACCTAGGTGCAGGGAGGCTGGGGACTGTCATCCTGGTGGGGACCAGATGGGCAGTCCTCCAGCGTATAGCACGACTGTGCTCTATGAGGTCCCATGGGATCAGCAGCAGCCTTCGAGGGAGCGGAGGTCGCTTGTCTGCCGTCCCGGCCGCAGGGCTGCAGCCAAGGATCTTGGGGCAGCGTCTGCGACCCTCAGCATTACCCCCAAGGAGAGGAGCGCTCCTGAACTTACAGTCGGGGCAACAGGAACGCCCTCCCGACCCCAGGTCTGGGGACCCGCGTGTGGGAGGGGTTCTCTGCGGCTCCAGGCCCCTCCCTTCTGTGGTTACTGGGAGGGGTGGGCTTTGCGCTGATTCTGCGCCCTGTTCCCCCCAGAAAGGGGTGCACCTTTAGTCCCCTTCATCTGCTGTAACGGACTGGGGAAGTCCTGGTGTGCTTCCCCCAGTGTTGGGAGCAGGGGACATCTATGCAGGGGACCTGCCGAGGTACCCACCTGCCGTGTGCCCTGCGCATCCTGAGCCCCATGCCCTGGCACACAGCAGCTCCCCCTGTGCCCCTCTCCTCTGCGCGTCCTATGCACCCCGCTGCCAGCTGCTCTCAACAAATCCAGCCCGGGAGGCGCGGGAGCAGGGCTGGGCAGCTGTGTCTCCAGCCCCGGGTGGGCAGCCCGGGAGGAGCCCTGCGCGGGCCCAGAGCCCCATGCGTGCGGGAGTTCCTCCTGCTCTTATCTCGCTTCCGCTCCTGCTATCAGGGGCTTTGCGTTCCTCACACTGGCAGCCAGTTCTAAGGGACCACTGCTGCTAGGGTGCTGCCGACAGGGCGGCAGGGACCAGGGCTAGACACCTGCTGTCTGCAAGAGGCTCTGCGCTCTGGGGACAGAGATGTCTCTGTGTGGCCAGGCGCAGCGTGCACCGTGCCCTTCCCGTGGGTTAACCCCCAAGCCTCAGGTTCTGATGTAGGCGTCTCATGGCCTGACCCGTCCCCTCTGAGTCCCCTCTGCCTTCACAGGCTCCGCCATGGCCAATGCCACACTGAAGCCGCTGTGCCCAGTCCTGAAGGACATGAGCCTGCTGGGCAGCCACAGCAACTCCAGCCTGCGCTACATGGACCACATCTCGGTGCTGTTGCACGGTCTGGCGGCGCTGCTGGGCCTAGTGGAGAACGGCCTCATCGTCTTCGTGGTGGGCTGCCGCATGCGCCAGACCGTGGTCACCACCTGGGCGCTGCACCTGGCGCTGTCCGACCTGCTGGCCTCGGCTGCGCTGCCCTTCTTCACTTACTTCCTGGCCGTGGGGCACTCGTGGGAGCTGGGCACGGCCTTCTGCAAGCTGCACTCATCTGTGTTCTTCCTGAACATGTTCGCCAGCGGCTTCCTGCTGAGTGCCATCAGCCTTGACCGCTGCGTGCGGGTGGTGCACCCGGTGTGGGCCCAGAACCACCGCTCGGTGTCCGTGGCACGCAGAGTGTGCGCGGTGCTGTGGGCGCTGGCGCTGCTCAACACGGTACCCTACTTCGTGTTCCGAGACACCATCCTGCGACGCGACGGCCGCACCATGTGCTACTATAACGTGCTGCTGCTGGCACCGGCTGGCGACCATAACGCCACGTGTGGCACACGGCAGATGGCACTGGCGCTCAGCAAGTTCCTGCTGGCTTTTGCACTGCCGCTGGGCATCATCGCCGCCAGCCACGCCGTAGTGAGCGCGCGTCTGCAGCGCCGGCCGCAGGGTGGGGTCCGGCCAGGCCGCTTCGTGCGCCTGGTGGCAGCGGTGGTGGCGGCCTTCGCGCTCTGTTGGGGCCCCTACCACGCCTTCAGCCTGATCGAGGCGCGCGCGCACGCTGTGCCTTCCCTGAGACCGCTGGCCTGGCGCGCGCTGCCCTTCGTCAGCAGCCTGGCTTTCATCAACAGTGTGGTCAACCCGCTGCTCTACGTGCTCACCTGCCCTGACGTGGGCCGCAAGCTGCGCCGCTCGCTGCGCGCCGTGCTGGAGAGCGTGCTGGTGGACGATGGCGAGCTGGGCTCCCGCTACCGGCGCAGGGGTGGCTCCTCCTCACCCGCGGTGGCCTCCGCGTCCTCGTCCTTGTCGCTGGCGCCGGCCACTCACCAGGCCTGTTCCCTGCTCCGCTGGCTGCGGGGCTCCCGGGGAACTGGCAGCGACGATGCGCCCAGCTCGGCCTCCGGGCAGGGCTAGGGCGGGTAGAGTCGGGAAACCGCGGCCCCCGCGTCCCTAACTCTGACTCGCGGAAATAAAGTGTGCGTAAGTGGCGCTTTTCAACCTCAGATGTGCTGTATCGAGGAAGCTGGGGCGCTGACTCTGGAGGCGGAACCTCTGTGCTGAGTGGCACCCCCAGCACTTTATTTTGCTAGGGTCAGAGGTCTGTAAGCTCCATCTTTCAGGGTTTCACTATGCAGTCCTGACTGGCCTTGAGCTCACTTTGCAACTCAGGCTGGTTTCAAACTTGGAAGGATCCTCCTGCCTCAGCCTCCGGAGTGCTGGGCTATCTGCCATATCTGCGTGTTTAGTAGCGATGCATGGATTGGCTGGAAGACAGTAAGGCCCTGGGTGGTACGCAAGGAAGGCACTTTTTTTTTTGCTGAGGATCAAATTCACCACCTCAAGCTTGCCAGGCAGATTGTGCTACCCAGTTACATCTCCAGTCGCAAAGGGCACTTTGGAGCTGGCGGTGCAGCCAGACCAACCACCTCCTCTCTGCCCGAGTACAGAGGTCAGTGTGGTGGTCTCAGGAGACCGCAGTCCACCTCTTAGGTGTACCACCCTGGACCATCTGCTGCCTAGCCCAGGTATGGACTTCTGAGGCAGAGTGGCCACCGCCCAGTGCTTCCTGCTGCCCTGGAAGCATGCCCCTTGGGAACTGTGTGCTGGCAGCCCCTGAGACCACAGAGCCCTATGGATACTGCCCAGCAGACTGTGCTCTGGGTGCTTGTCACCCCAGGACCTTAGTGGTGCCTACCTGTGACCTTGTGCAGCTGCCCACCTCTAGTGAAAACAGAGGGCATGACACTTCCCACATCGTCCTCTCCCTGCCTCCCCACAGCTCTGCCCCAGCACACCATGCCAGTCACTTGTTTATTGTTTCTCCAAGGAGTTAGAGCCCCTCTTGGCCTGTGGCCTGCACCACACCCCACCCCACTAGGCACTCAAATACCCTCCCCCTCCCTCCCTTTGGGGCTTGCATAGAGCTGGGGTAGGAAGAGGGTGCTGGGGAACTGGCTCCCCACAAGGCCACATTCCTGATCCTTCAGTGCCGGGTGGGAGTGGCTAGATTCCCTGGGTGAGGACGCTGTCAGCTGGGCTGCCTTCTGGGAGGACTGGGCACACTCGGTCACCAGTTACTGTCTGAGGCAGAAGGCACTCGGCAAAGGACAGGGAAGGGCCTGAGCTGAGCCTCCCAGCCTAGGCCCTGCTGGCCCTATCCATGCTCAAGCCTGCGGGGCCGTTTCTGGCAGAAGTGTCCATTGGGTGGCCTGAAGGTTGTGAGGCCCAGCTGTCCTGCACTTAGGTGTTAGCCGCCAGCTGCCGGGGTGGCTGTTTCTGCAGCAGGGCAAGGGTGTCCCGCTTCATGATGGAACGCAGCTGCTTTTTCTTTGCCCGCTTGAGCTTGGCAGGGTTTCGGATCTGTGGACGCAGGGCGGGGGTGGGGTGGGATAGTAGAGGCATCAGGGAGGTGTCCAAGGTCCCACCCCCAGGAAGAACCCCACTTCTGGCTGCGTGGGCACTCACCACCTGCACGACCTCGGCCCTCCGCTCATTCTCCTGGCGGCGTCTCAGGTTCTCCGCCCGGCGCTGCTTCTTCTCCTAGACAGCAGTGGGGGCACAGAGAGGGGAGACTGAGGCTCAGAGAGGGTAAGACCACCCCATCTGGGATCTGGAAGGTCTGGGGAGCCCCCAGGAGTGACCCTTCTGCCTCAGGCCTGGTGCCTGGGGCCCACTGTGGAGGGCAGCTCCTTACGCACAGCCGGGTTGGGGAACACACCTGTAACCCCAGTATCTGGAGGCAGAAGCAGGAAATCTCACCTATGATCCCAGCTTGGACAATTGAGATTGCAATACACAAAATAAAAAAATGAGGACTGAGGGCATAGCTAAGTGCAAAGGACCTGGGTTCAATCCCCAGCACTACAGAAAAATAAAAAGTGGGTAAGCAGAAAAGCAGCAGGTGTGGGCGGGACTGAGGTAGTTGGGGCAGGTGGCTCCCCTTGCCCTGGGGAAACACACAAAAGGGAGGGGCCCTGCCTCCAGGTGACCAGACGACCAGACTGCTGCTCATCAGGGTTCTGCCTACATCTCAGCCCCAGTGGTCCAGTTTCTGACACTTTGTTCTCCTGGGGCTCCCGGAAGCACCCCCACCCAGGACAGAGAGGCCGGGCTAAGGTGGCACACCGGACCCTTCTGGGGGCTTCCTGTGTGGGAGCCACTTCCTAGGTGACAACAGCAAAACCCGGAAGCCCCTGCACCCAGCAGGTCCCTAGGGCCTCACCTGCCGGCGCCTCGCCTTCTCTTCCTCTAGGTGCCGAGCAAAGTCCCTGGCCAGCTTCCGCTCCTGCCGCTCCTTCATCTTGCGCTGCCAGGACGTGTGCAGTGGCTTGTCCTGAACCATGTGCGAGAATCTGGGGAGTACAGAGACCGTGCCATCATGCAGCTGTGCTGGCTACGTTCAAGGGGGCCTCTGTTCTCCCAGGCCACGCAGAGGTAGCCCTGGATCTCCCCATTCCTGTGTAATAGTTAGGATGTGTGGCCATCTGTGACCCAGGAGTTTGGGCTGCATCCACTGCACGAAGACACATCTTGGGTGCTGGCCCCTTCCAGACAGGGAGAGCAGGTTCAGCTCTCTGTAGTGATATCAAGATAGAAGGGGCACTGGGTTGCGGAGGTGGGCTCGATTCCCAGGGTAGAGACTGGGTGACTGGAGCTGGCATCCCGAAAGGGCTGCAGCTGGGAGACTGCAGGAGGGCACGCATGGATTTTTTTTTTGCCTTTTTTGAGACAGGGTCTTTCTATGCAGTTCAGGCTGGCGTTGAGCTCATTTTGTAGCCCAGGCCTGTCTCGAACTTGCAACAATCCTCCTGCCTCAGCCTCCCAAGTGCTGGGATTACAGGCATGAGCCACCACGCCCTGTGGGCACACGTGCTTTAAACAGCCCAGGAATGGAAGTAAGAGTAGGGAAACTGCCCACTGAGAATTGCAGGAGCCCTGACAGGGACCTGGATCCATGAACTGTATTCTCCTGTAGCATGTGCTTGAAATCTTCACTATAAAAACCAAAAACAAAATGGAGCCCGGACTCCCAGACTGGAATCACCAGTCAAGCCTGTGGGGGTCCCCCAGGGCCCACACCAGGAGCACCCATCCCAGTGTGCCTCCTCTTGCCCACAGGAAGGGCTGAAATGAATGCATCCTTGGGTTTGGCTCCATCCCTTCCTCTGCACTGCTGACCTCTCACCCCAGCACACCCGCCCTGCCTCCCCACCGGGCTGGATGCCCAGACTGGGGTATAGGAAGCCTGCATAGACAAGGTGACAGGAGCCTGGAGTTGCAGGGGCTACAGGATCCAAGGCACTACTTCTAGAACACAGGTGTCTGGCAGTGCTCTGTATCTGTGCTATGCCCCGGGAGCCCTACTCCAGGTGGCTGCAGAGCACAGCAGCTCCAGAGCTGAGCTTCCACCTGGAAACACAAGGATGAGGGCCAAGTATCAGTCCCAGGCATATTGCTTCCTGTCTGCACAGCCACAGGGGTGGAAGCCCAGAGCCTCAGTTTCCCTTGTAGAGCTGGGACTTGTGGCCGGGTGTGTAATGGGGTGAGCACAGGTCCAGCCACGGGGCTGGTACGGGTCACCCTCCTACTCACTCCAGCCCTCCCTACCCAGCAAGCTCACCTTTCTGCAGCTGTGGCCAGGCCCCCAGGTTGCACACTGGCCAGCCTGCCCCACCTCTGCCCCACCAGGTCTCTTCTCCCCCCAGACCTGGTGGGACATGGTGCCATTAACCTAACCACTCTTCCATCTCCCCACCCACTCCAGCCTTAGAGTCTGACTGGTGACAAACACCGAGCTGCTCCCTATGCCTCAGTTTCTCCTCTTTAATGGGTGGTTGGAGAGACTCCCACAGCCTAGGCATTTAGGGGTGCAGCAAAGCAACACCTGCATGGGACACTGCCCACCTAGTCAAAGGCAGGTGTTCCTTCCCACCCCTTGCAGCTGCCATGTACTGTGGCTCGACCTAAGTCCCCACCAACCAGAAGTGACCAGAATCCCAAGTCTCCTTTCTTCGGATAAGCCCTCCTCCATCAGCCAGCGGCTTCCAGCGAGCACCAAGGCCCCGTGTCTTAAGAAGGCTGCAGTCCGCTCAAAGCCTGTCACCCGATGAGGGACCAAGGGCTCTGCACCCAGGCTTCGGAATCGGACCTGTGCTCGGGCCCTGTACTACCATCATGCAGACTCTGAGCCTCAGGGTTCTCAGCCTTAAAAGGAACCGCTGCACTGCTGGGTCCTTGATGCCCACACTGGGGCGAGGGGCAGGCGATAGCAAACGTCTATGAAACTGGAGATGGAGCTACTACAGGGTAGGCCCGTCAGGACCCGGGGCGGGAGGAGGCAAGGAGATGAGCTATGGGGCCACCCACATTCGGATCAGGATCTCGGGGTGCCGACGCCCTCGCCGGAGTGGGCCCACACCCGCCGCCATCCCACTCTTCACCTCTTTTTGGCCCGGTCCTTCCACACGCGCCCGGACTTGGGCCTCCCCTTAGGGATTACGGGCAGCGCCTCTTCCCTCTCCCCTTTCCGCTTCTTGGGCGCTGGGGACCGGCCCGAAGGTCTGTGCCGCTTCTCTGCGCTGTCGTCTCCACCACCACCGGGTACGGTCTCCGCGGCTGGGCGCGGCTCGCTGGGCCCTTGCTGGCTCCGGGAGGGCCCGGGGATCCGAGGCGTTGGTTCCTCGCCTGGCTGCACGGGCTCCGGCTCCGGCGACCCTGGGCCCGACTTCGGGGATCCCGGCAAGTCAACATGCTGAGGGGCTTCAGGACGCGCCTCTGGCCGTCTCGGGGGCGTCTCCGGGCCTGGCCCGCGCTGCCCTCGGGGGGACCCCGCGTCCGCGCCCCGCTGCTCTCTGGTGAGCGGTCCCGCGCTGCTCTCGGATGGGCGTGGCAGGGACCCCTGGCCAGGCTCCTGCGCTTCTTCCGGGCCTGCAGCGATCTCCACGAAAGCCTGTCTCGACTGTCCGGCTGAGGCGAAGCTCTCGGCGGCCTCTGGCGTCAGGCCTTCCAGTCGCCGGCTGCGCCTGAGCGGCGTGTCCATAGCTGCGGCGGAGTTTCCAAATCCGAGTCCACGTGCCGCATCTGCCATCACCGGGACCACTGGCGCACGCCGATGACGTCAGAGGCGACCGGTCCGTGTGCGCAGAAAGGGCTGTCGCTGAGGTGGCCATGTTAGTGAAGGGCGGAGAGGCGGGACTGCCCTGCAGGGCCTGGGCTCCGCAAGCAAATGCGCATTGTGGCATTGTGTGCGGGTGGCGTGCCTGTAGTGAATGTACGCGTACGCACGCCTTTTTTTGTGTTTGTTTTCGTTTTTTTGAGCTGGGGGTCTCACTTTGTACTGCAGACTGGCCTTGAACTTACTTATGTAGCCTAGGCTGCCCTCGAGCTTGCAGCTGGGATGACAGGTGAACGCCACCACGCCTGGCAGAACGCATGCTTTTCTTGCGATTTGCGCTTGCCTTTTTCGCAAATGGTGTTTCCTGCGGGTAAAGAAAGGCGTGCAGAGCAAAGAAAGGGGGTCCCAGCTGGGGAAGAAAAGAGGCTTGGGATAAGGTCCTCGCGTGCAGTTGGGCCTCAGTTTCTGCACTTGCTTGTCGCAGGTGGCTTTGCAGTAAATGCTTAGTGCGCCTCCCCGACAGGGAGATCCTGGCCATGCCTGGGCCAGAGCATCCCCGAGGAGAAGAGGCGTCGTGCACAACCTGTGCTTATTTCAGGAGCACCCCGGCCACCTGCTGCGCCGCGCAGAAGCAGGGCAGATCCCCTCCCCTTCCTGGCCACAAGCCTGCCCGCTTCCATTGAACAGGGGATGTCCCCTCTGCACAGCTGGCAGAGAAGGCTTTCCTGGGGGTCCGTTTGCGTGTGCCCGGGATGCCTGGCGGCCGGCTCGCTGCTTCTTGGGACGCACGTTGCAGAAGGGCCCAGCCCTCAATCATTCCTGCATTGAGCTGCCTGGGATGAGGGTGGAGATCCGCAGGGATCCAGGGCCCTAGTCCCAACCCCGCCGCTGCTTTCAGAAACTGTTGTTTCTCCAGCCGGGGCTCCTGCAAGACCTGGGAGTTGTCCGAGGATGCGTTGGGGGGGGGGGGCGGGGAGGGGAGTGGAGGGGTGGCCCTGTCGCAGTCACTGCCCAGCCTGCGCTGATGCAGAGCTGGAAGGTCAGCTGGGCAGGGGCGACAGGGAGAGGAAGTCCCGACTAGTTCCTGAGGCGGAGGATGCTGAGAATCTGGATCCTCTTTGGACCGTCGGCCAGGGCCATGCAGCGGCCCTCACACTTGGGACAAGTTCAGCCCAGGTCCTCCGGGGACAGGCCCGCCTCCGTGTCCCTAGCTCTCTGAAGAGAGGCTGTGCTGGTCACTTAGTTTCCCTGCCCGGCCTGGAGTCTTGCGTATCTGACACCTGTGAGGGTGACATAGTGGGCCTCGGACTCCTGCCATTCTCTGATCCTGTCCTGGCCAGAGGGGTCACTCACAAGGGCCGATAGATCCCACCCAGCCCCCAGGTAGTGTGGGAGAGGGGTCTGTGGCAGATGGAGGCCACCAGGTGACCCTCAGGTACCTGTGCAGATGCTCAGTGACCCTGGTTTCAGGGGCACTCTGGCCTGGAGCCCCCATTCCCTTGGAGTTCTCTTGTCCTTGCCTGGCGACATTCTGGAAGCTTGATTGGCAGTGGCTGTTGTCGACCTGCATCTCTGGGACTGCTGTGCCTTCTGTTGCATATATCTCAGCCTTCTGGGGGAGCGTGAGGGGGCCTCGCTGCTGCTCTCCAGAGATCTCAGCAGGCTGGATCTGTGGAACACGAAGGTACCTGGTCCCCATCCCCTCCACCCCTACCCCATCTCAGCACCCTCTCCTTTAGGGCTTGCTGGCGCCACTTCCCCTGCAGACATTTGCACTGGGATTCTCATTTCAGAGTCTTCCTGCAGGAACTCACAGGACACACTGTAGGCTGGGCCTTGGTGGACAGCAGTGCAGCCCAGCTCTCTCCATCCACTGGGACCCATCTCCCCCTGGCCATACCCAGCAATATCCCCATTGCCAGATTCCCCAGTGGTGATGGAGGAGTCCCTCAGGGATGGGCTTGGTGAGCGTGGAGGCTAAAGTTTGGGTTTGGAGTCAGAAGCCTCAGTTTCCCTGGGCTGACCCTGCCCAGTCCTTGTGTAACTGTCACTGGTGACATCAGTCTCCTGGTCTGGAAAGCAGGGATGGTCACCTTGCCCTGTGGGGTCCTGATGTCATTCAACAAACCCTGTGGAGCATGGAGCATGGGCTGACGGTCGCCCTCCTGGCCCACCATTCTGGGGACTAAGTAGCTACCCAGGGAGCCTGGTGCATAGTGGGTGGTAGGATTGTCTAGTCCTGGCACTGAGCATCGGCCCTGGGCACCTTTGGAGTCTCTGGGCTGTAGCTCCCCAGTGGGGTGAGACCTGGGGCTCAGATCACCGACCTGGATCTCCTATCTGCATCTGTGGCCAGTGGGCACTGGTTTCCTGCAGTCAGCAGATCTCAGGGTTCCATCACCCCAGTGTTGCTGGCTCAGCACGCACAGGGTGGAGTATACCACCCCACACCTGCTATGTGCAGACTGGGGACCAGGTATCAAGCCACTGTGCAAGTGAGCTCTGCAGCCCCAGGCCCCATCCTCTGAGTGTGGCTCCAAAGCAGTGAGCTGGCACCTTTGCCTTCCAGGGCGTGTTTTCTCACCCCAGTGGTGAGGACGTGTACTGTGAGGTGTATGGCTCTGGAATGAGACAGGTTAGGCGTGGACCTTGTCTCCACCAAGTGTCTGCTGTAGGACCTTGGACTGAACAGCTGGCACTGGACGTCCCATCAGTCTTGTTTGGCTGCACCGGGGTCCAGACGTTCTCCAGGGTCTTCCCACCCTGCGGTGTGCATGACTGCTCTTGGATCTAGGACAAAGGGGAGCAGGATGGAGGCGACTGCACTCTAATCTCTGAGCCCTATCTCTGATCGTTGTCTCAGGTCCTCAGAGGAAGAAGAGACCTGAGCATGGGGTGGGCTGAGGGTGAGGGAAGGCTGCAGTGACTAGCCCAGTGCTACTCTAGGTGTCCCCGCCCACTAGGCTAGAAGGGCCCCCTGTGCAGAGCTCCCACGCACGCACCTGCGTCTATCAGGAGCTAGCAGAGTTATCTCCAGTCATCTTACTGCATCTGCAGGTTCTGCTGAGACAGGCAGGGGCCCAGGCGACCCACTGTGCAGAACGGGCTGCGGGACAAGGCCTCCTCACCAGCTCAGGCGCTCGCCAGCCTCCAAGGCAGCACGTCCCCTTCCCGAGTTGGCACAGGAAGAGTGGGTTGGCAGGAAATGCCCACCTGAGCGCATGGGAAATAGATGCCAAAGGAGAAGGCGGGACACACTAAGCCTCTCCCACCAAGGCAGAGGCGTGGCACATTGAGCCCTGCCCACCAAGAGAGGCATGATGCATGCCCCCTACCAAAAATAGGCTTGGTACCTTTAGTTCCGCCCACTCTTGCCTCTATAAATCCAGCAGCTGCATCTCGACTCCAGCTGCAATCATACAGATCTGTTAGAGCCCCCGCCCCAGGAATTAGGATGGTTTGGGTGTGGGGTGGGGCCATTGTGAGGGTAAATCTTGGCTGTCACCTGCTTAGAGAGACGTCCAGAGAATACGCAGGCATACATCTGGGGGAGTCTTCGAGGCTCTCACTAGTGAGGACCTGAACGTGGTGGCGCTGGCCCATGGGCCAGGGTCCAGGATGGAAGCCCTCAGTGGGCTTCTTTGCCGCTGCCATGGCTGTGGCTGTGAGCTGCTGCTTCAGCCTTTGGTGTACTCGCTGTGGATGCTCTAGGAGCTTGGGCCTTTGAGGTCCCTCGCGCTGTGACTTCCGAATCCTTGGATCTCGAGGCTCCTGGTTTCTCTGCTCCGACTGCCGGCGGCTGCTATAGCATTACCCAGCCAGCCTTGTGAATCCTTGCACACTTACATGCTCATCTTATGGGTCTTTCCCGCAGAGGACCCTGACAGGCACAGCCAGGGACGTGAAGTCCGTGAGCTCTGAGGGCGGTGGGCCGAAGGACAGAGCTCCACAGCCTGTAGGGTTTCGGATGTGCTGAAGAGAGGTTCTTGTTACCTTTGGGCAGGACCAGAGCCAGGGTGCTGCTCCTTCCTGTGCTGTCAGCACAAATATATCCAGAGGTGGCTCAGTGACAGGTCCTAGGGAACAGCAGCCGGGCTTCCTGCCTCCATGGAACTTATGTCACCGGGACTCAGATGTTAAACACTTGAGCCTGAGCTCTCTCCTCCGTGCCTCCTGCACCTGGGCTTGGGTGGCAGAGCTGTGCTTCGGTGTGCATGTTGGCAGAGGCTGCGAGCTAAGGGGAGAGGGTTCACTGTGTCCTTAGGAGAGCTGACAGCTAAGACTGGCCAGTGTACACATGCACACACACACACATACGCACACATGCTTGCACAATCTCAGTTCCTGAGACACAGATAATTGTGGAGTTTCACAATGAGTCACTTTTCTCCCCTGCTCTCTGTTTACTTATCCCTCTCCTCTCACTTCCTCTAACCCTTGGCTTCTCTGCAGCTTTGGTCCGTCCGCAGTGCCCTCCCAGTCAGCATGACCCCCATTATTGTGGCAGCCAACGATGCTGAGTCTGGGATCCCCATGAAGAGCATGGTAGGGGGATTAGAAGCCTCCTTCCTTGTGCTGCGGAGTCCCTGGGAATCTCGCTCTGTCCACTGGCTCCTGTCCAAGGGGTGGACTCAAACCAGCCCAGCACTAATGCAGCTGCTCCGGTGCACTCAGGGTGACAACTTCACAGTCATCCTGGAGACTCCAGGACATTTGAGGCCCAAGTGCAGGACAGAGGGACGGTCCAGGGTGGCTCATTGTCTGGGGTGTCATTTACATGCCCTGCCTTGCCACCACTGAAAGGCCACTGTGGGCTGGAATGGCTCATTTCCCTGAGGAGTACCATTCATACGTCTATGGATTAAGAAGGGTGTCACATATCATGGTGGGTTACAAAGCTATAAAAACATCCCAACTTCCAGGTGGGAAGGTGGGGGGTCGAGATTGCGTCCAGAGTAGCTGCCACCCTTGAAGGGCATTTGTAGCTTTAACTCAATTGTGGAGCAGTGCTGGTTATCGGAGGTGGGAATGCCGTTCAGGGTTAGGGAACTGTTCTAGGCTGGTGGCTGGTGTGGTACAGGGTGTGGGGAGGGGGGAGGTCTACATCCAGAACATAGCTTGCAAAATGCTTGCAATTTCAGTCATCCTCTTTCCCCCTCTGTTTGTCAGTCATTCCATCTAACGCCTGAACAAGTCCCTTCCCCAGCCGGTCTGTTTTCTAATCTTTGAGGTCAGCTGGGAATCGCAGGCCTCGAGGAGCGCCCTCTGCACAGGCAGGACTCATCCCACATATGTTGCTCTGTTGCTCTTTTTAGTCTTCTGCTCAAAGCAAAGTATTACACAACAGCCAGATATGATTTCCACTTGTTGGAGTGGTTTTAGCTCTCTGCTTCTGAGGTGACTCTGGGCATATCCAGACAGCCTGCTCATTGGAAAATTGGAACCCAGGCTGCAAATATGGTGTTTTCCTAAATGGTGCATTGGGTGGTCTTTTACCCTGGCTCTGCCCCTCGCCTTTTCCACCTGGGCTGCACCTTCTCTCTGTGCAGCCACATTGCATCAGGGGAGCTGTGCGTGAGAAACAGCAGAGGAAGTGTCACAGAGGCAGTGGCCCTGAAGCATAAGTCAGCAGCCCCATCCTACTTTGTCCACACAGTGTCCGGGGGGCATGGCTGCCCACAACCCAGAGCTCGATGTCTGGACCCCAGAGCTGAGCGGCCCCTGCTGTACAGGAGCTTTCTGGGGCCAGACCATAGGGCCCCTGGCCCGATAAAGTGTGGTAGCTTTCTTGGAAACCTGCTCATCCCTTCCAGAGTGGTCCCTGGGCAGCCAGCCCCTGAACTGCGGGGAGTTGAGGGCCCAGCAGAGAACAACCTGGCCACTCTGGGCAGGAGGGGACTGCATTGTACTGCAGTCCCATGGGCTGCCAGATCTGGTTTGGACTCCCCAGGCTGCATAAGCCAATTGTTCTCTCAGTGCACACGTGGCTCTTGGCGGAGGAGGGTTGCACAGCAGGACGAACAGGGTGAGGAGTCTTTGACCCTTGTGGAGAATGTGGCCCCACCAGACTGGAGGCTTTATTTATTTCTGGTTTTCCAGCTATGTTTTTTCTATGTTGTCCAGGCTGGCCTTGAACTCACAGCAATCCTCTTGCCTCAGCCTCCTGAGTGCTGGCATTACAGGCAAGCACTGCCATGCTTGGCCTTGAGTCTCTTGCTTTTTGCTAAAGGCTTTCAATGCTGCAACTTTCCAGGCAGTTTGGAAAACCTCCCTGATTCCCCAGAAGATAAAAACTTAAAGACCAAGACCAAGACCAGATGACCACTTGGTCATCTGAAGGTCAGATGAGGAGGTCCCCAAAGACACAAAAGCTCAGTGAGATTAGAAAACAGAATTGCAGGTTCAGGCCCCCGGGAAATTTGAAATCTCAGGGACGAGTGTGGCTCCGAGTGAATGTGATCCGGGCCGATGAGGGGCAAGAGACCCCTTTCCTTGGTTTCTGGACTCCAGTCCTTCCAGCTCCAGGTCTGTGTTCTCTGTCCTCGTTTGTCTGATGCACGTGCTGAGTGAAGTTGTTTTTTATAACTCGATGTCTTTTAATACATTCAAAGTTACGCAGCACAATCGTCCCTGAAGCCTGGACATTTTTCTCACTGCCCTCCCATGGGCCTCCCTTAGTCACTGTCATTGGTAGGTTGCTTCTCCACAACAAGTGGAGGTTCAGGTTCGCTTGCCATAAACTGAAAACTGCCACAGACGTTTACTTGGTGGAAATAAGACCTCATTGATTCCCAGCACATGCTGGGGGCGGGTGTCACGCCCAGGGTGTGGTTGGTGAGGAGGGCTGGGCCTGTGTTAGAGCAGGCAGCGCCCATGGAGCCTTTTCCCAAGGCATGGCGACCCTCCTGGGTCCTCCCATGCCTTGGCCCTTGGACTCTAAAGTGTTCTGAGAGCCCCTCGACAAGAGCCTGTCACCCCCACCCCATGGGGGAGGCAGCCGAGGCTGGGAGTTGAGTGAGTCCTGTATCCTCAGAGACTCTCACTTGGCCCTAAACAGGCTGTAGCTCCTGGATGCGCCCTCTATTCTGAGTCCTCTGTTCCCATAGTCCATCTCGTCCTGCCCAAGGGACACTGGGCAGTGTCTCCCCAGGACTGGGGTGGACCTGAGCCTAAGGCTTTTGGTTTATCTGCTCCATGGTCACTGAACGCCCATCTGGGCTGCGAGAAGCCTAGGTGGGTTTCACTCCTGTGAAACTCCACACGGCTCTGCATGTGCTGGCCCAGCGAGGGGCTGGACCCTGCAAGGATAACGCCTCCTTCCAATACTGACTTCTTCTTCCAAGCCCCAAATCAAACTTCCCACTTTTCCCACAGGCGCCAATAGTCCCTCAATCAGCTGTCACAACGCCACTCTGCCTACCCCTTCAAACTCTACCCCCTGTCAAATTGAATAAAAGCCCACAGCTTGTCTGCTGGAGGAACCTTGCACTCTTCTGTAGTTCTCCCATGCCCACAATAAAGGCCCTTTTTCTTGTGTCTTTTTCTGCTCTTGCTTCTCTACTATGCCAAGAAAAAACTTAATTGTAGGGCCAGGGATTTGGCTCAGCAGCATAAGCAACCTGCCTTGCAAGTGTGTGGTCACATGCATTTTTTTTGGTGCATGTGGCAACCCTGAGTCCCAGAGCTGGCCAGACTAAAGGACATCCCTAGTTCAGTGTCCCCAGGCTCAGACAGTCTTATGAATGCCTGACTCACCATGGGTTCCAGAAATAATTCCAGGGGCCCCAAATGCCTTGTGGACATGTGAGAGAGAAGGGTCATTGAGCCAAAAAAATCCAAGTTCAGCCTATGCGGAATCTACATGAATAATGCCAGATGAATCTCAGTTGAGCATTTTGAGTTTAGGACACTGGTTTCCGCATGGGAGACTGTGTGCTTCCCATAGGGTGCCGTCCAGGGAGCTGCTGTTCATGACATTAGAGGTCAGTGTCCTGCATTGCAGCCCTGCGTCCAGTTTTACATGCAAACACCTGGGCCTAAGTGGGAAGGGGCTGAGTCTGATTGTATAAGTTGGCACCTGTCTTCAGATGTGCGGTTGCGAGCCCCTTGTGCCCTCTTGTCCCACAGAATCAGTGTTCATCCCAAATGTTGGCCTAGTGCATTCTGAAGCCACAGAGGCTCAGTGTCGGGTCAGAGGCCGGCTCCTCCATGGCAGAGCAGGGGGCCATGTGCACCCCAGAGGCCTGGCAGCCCAGGGCCTCTTTACAGCTGACCCCACTCATCTTAGGCATCACCTCGAGTCGCCTCTTCATAGGACGGTGGGGGCCCGGGTGATGGATGTGTGAGTTCCAGCGGCAGCACCCTGGGAGCTGGCGAGACACCACCCCTGTCCTGCAAGGAGAAGTCACTTGTGTGGCAAGGTGGGGACCACGGCGCCACTTGGGGCTTTGGAAACCTCCAGGGCCCTGGGAAGGTGAAGGTGCTGGTGACATGCAGGTCATTTAGCCTGTGGGGGTCTCTAATATGGGCCGGGCCCACTTCAGAGCGTCTCACACTGTCCAGCAGATCGGATCCTGCCTGGCATAGTTTCGCCCGGCCCTTGGGAGCAGGGCGTGGACCTGTGATCTCCATGGTGGCCTGGTCAGCTTGACCTGTCCTCTGTCCCCAACCTGCTCCCACTCTGGCCATGTTCCCTTCACCATATGCTTGGGACCTGGCTCCACCCCTGCACTGCCTCTGTGCCAGGAACTCACCTCTGCTGCACGCCGACGCCATCTGTGGGCTGCCATGATCGTGGGCACGGGCAGGACTAGCTCCACCCAGCAGATGCAGAACAGTGCCAGCTCCAGCCACTGGAGGGAGGCCTGGTGGGTGCAGGGAAGATCAGGGCTCAAGCCTCAGGCCTCAGCCACTGCCTGTGTCTGGCACGGGATCCTGGGGGGTCCTGGCCTAACGTCTGAGGGCCCTGGGAGAGCTGAAGTAGCCTTAAGTGTGCCAACTCCATTGACAGATGGGGACACTGAGGCCAGAAGAAGTGGCAGGGAAAGTAGATAGGGGGCTCAAGTGATCAGATGACATATCCCAAGGCTGCTGATCCACATGGGAAGTGCATGTGTCCATATATGTGGGCCAGTGTAAGGCAGGTGAGGAAGGCTGGTCCCTGAGATTAAAGTCCCTGCAGCCACAGAGCTGAGATGAAGTGTGCACTGGGCTTGGGGTCACCAGGCCCCCATGCCTTGCTGTGTGGTCCTCCTCCCAAGGAGGCTGGCACTTGAAAGGCCTGCTGGACCATGAGATGGGTGGTGAGGAGGGCAGACACCTGCCCAGGCAGGATGACTGAGGATCCTCCCTCCTCCCCATTAACTTAGCTGCTCTGGCCTCCGATGTGCATACCCATAAGCTGGGGGTGACCATGTGGCCATAGCCGGCGGTACCAGGCTGCTGGGAGGCTCTAGGGATCGGTGGCCCTGGAGAGGTCTTAGTCCCAGATCTGCCCCCTCCCTGTTCTGGGCCAGGCCCAGCTGCAGCACATACAGCACTCACCATGGGGTTGGGGTACGGTGTCCAGATTGGCCAGAGGTATGGGGACTCCAGGAAGAGGTCCTTGGAGAGGACGAAGAGGCCAGCCAGCACACAGAGGCCACTGACAAGGTGCATTGCCAGGCACAGCGACTTTGACAGGCAGAGAGGATGGACTGGGGCTGGAGCTGGGACCCAGGGCTTGGGAGTCTGTGTCTCTGGCACATTTGCCAGCAGGTGGGGGAGGGGACACAACACCCCAGTAATCCCAGGGAGGAGGGAGGATCCTGAGCCATCCTGCCCCTGCATGCTTGGGTGGGTGTCTACCCTCCTCACCACCCATCTCATGGTCCAGCAGGCCTTTCAAGTGCCAGCCTCTTTGGGAGGAGGACCATGGGTGCACAGACCCTGAGGTTGGTCACAGTGGGGGCTCCTGCAAGCCTCAGCCCAGGACGGTAAGGCGGGGCCTGGGAAGGCTCTGTCCAGATTCCTGCTGTCCCTGTGTGCCCAAGGAGGAGGGGTGGCCATGTGCCAGCCAAGTGAGGGTACAGGGACATCTGGCTGGGCATGTGGGCTGAGGCTGTCTGGAATGTCCTACCACCCACTTTCATCATCTACTTGTACTGGGCTACTCTGTCTACCTGGGTTGCAGGGACAGAAACTGGCCCTGAGAGTTGGGGGTGACCTGGAGGGCATCTGAAGTCACAGGTGGGAAGACAGGGTGGTCCTGGGTGCAGGGCTGGGTAGGGCAGTCCTCGAACCTCCTATCTTGAAGTGAGGGCTTACAGACCTAGGCTGCAAGCTGAGACCACAAGGGAGCCTGGGAGGTGACACAGTGAGTGGGGACCGAGCTGCTGTGCAGGACAGCATGAATGACCATTTGAGTCAGAGCTGCACTGGGGAAGGTGCAAGGCATCTGAGAATCCTCCCTCCTCCCTGGCAGTGCCAGGTGTGAGCCCCAGGCTCCAGGCCATGCAGTGAAGGAGACCCAGGCTCCAAAGATGTGAAAGGAAGCCAAGTGCAAGCCCAGAAGGGTGGCTGAGCTCTGTGCCTGGCCTGACATGGGGGGCCTCAGCCTCTGCCCCGAGCCTTCCGCTCAGCACCTCTGCTGTCCCCTCTTGGAGACTCCCTTGAGGTCAGGAAGGAACAAGCTTGGCACAAACTCACCAGAGAGGATTTGGGCATCTTGGCCATGATCAGTGCTGAGACCCCAGAGGCGAAGAACTGCAGGGTGACCAGGAAGTGAGGGAGGGAAGCTGGGGCTCCCCAAAGCCTACTGATTCCTTCCTCCCTTTCTGGTGGGCAGGGGCTGCCGCTTGTCCTGCAAAGCCCCCTTGCCCTGCAGTCTGGGTCACCCATGGTGTCCTCCCCAATCCTCTGTCTCTGTGGCGGCCTGGCTGGGCTGTGACCGCAACGAGCAGGGTTTGCAGGCCTAACTATCCCTCTGTGGCAGGGACGCTGCCTGCTGGTTCCTTAATCCCACCATCGAGGATGGCAGCACGACTTAGATTTCTGGGGCTCACTGGTTCTTGTGGAGCCATAGGCTGCAGTGGCGGTGGACCCCTCTGTTCTGGTGTGGCAACACCTCAGAGAGGGGCACAGAGAGGGCACAGTGGGGGCAGAGGCGGGAAGAAGGAGGCGCAGATGTCCAGCCTAGCATAGCTGGGATCAGACACCAGCACCAGGTGGTGGGGCAGCTGGGGACTGTGTGGCAGTCGTCTTGCCTCCCACCCTGGCCCAAGGGGAGCCCCGAATGGGTGCCGTCCCCAGCTCACTGCTGGCTGCCCGTTTAGGGGCAGGGCCCAGGCCTAGGCCTTGGTGGGCCCTTGAGGTTCAAGAGCGACCCTTGGAGGAGCCACGTCCATGTTCATCAGAAGTAGAGTGAGGGCAGAAGGGCTGAGTTCCCCGTGTCCCCCATGCCAGCCGGCTCGGCCCCTACTCACAGACGCGGCCCCCCAGAAAGGGAACCAAGACTTCAGCACCACCAGGTGCACTTCAGCCACGAAGGCGGTCAGGGCGCTCCCGAAGGCCAGGGTCAACGAGCCGAGTAAGAGGTGGAAGACCTGGCGGGAGAGCGGGGTCCACCGAGGCTGCAGCGTCCCTTCCACCCCCTCAGGCCTGGCCTGCTAAGAGCCCTCCTCACCTGCTCAGAAGACTATGGGAAGACACCTGTCTCCGGGAGTTCCCACCGCCCTGTGGCTACTAAGCCCCTCCCCTCCCCGTCCCACCCCGCCCCCCGCTGCCACTAATCCCCGCCCCTTGATGGAGGCCCCGCCCAGTCCCTGCCTCCGCGGATACTCAGCCCCGCCCTTCAGGGAGGCCCCGCCCAGTCACCGCCCCTCCCGTGCCCGGTGGACATGCAGCCCCACCCCTTGAGGCTCCCCCACTGTGTCCCCAGTGACACTCACGCCCATCCCCGCCACGAGCCTGCCGCTCGTCCAGTTGCTCCTCCAGAGCTCGGTGAGGGCCCAGTTGCTGGGCTGACTGCCCAGGGTGCGCCCTGGCTGGGCCAGGCCAAGGACCGGGTACGGGGGGAGTCCCCCGGGCCCGGAACTGGGACCCGCAACGGCTGTGAGTGCATTGGCTGCCATGGACTCTGGCCGGCTATGGGCAAAGGAAAGGCTGTCAGGGCTCTCGGTTACTTTCCCAGGCTTGGCAGAGGGGAGCAGAGCAGAGAGCGTGTCTGGTCAATGGAGGGAGGGGAACCCCGCCAGGGCATCTCTGGGGAGCCTTGGTCAAACACCGGACCAACAGGGAGGTGGACAGAGCAGCCTTCCTCAAAGTGTATTCCCTGGAACAGTGGTTGGACAGGACCTTCGGTAGCAGGGTTCCCTGGTCCAATCAGTTTGGGAAGCCCTGGATCCCCACTTTTTTTTTGCCTTTTTGAGACAGGGTCTCGCTATGCAGTTCAGGCTAGTCTTGAGCTCATTTTGTAGCCCAGGCTAGTCTCAAACTCGCAAGATCCTCCTGTCTCAGCCTGAGTGCTGGGATTACAGGCTTGAGCCACCATGCGCAGTTCATCCCCACTTCTTGCTCTGTCCCTTGTGAAAGGGCTGAGGAAGTCCTCTCGCCCTGTATCAGCGGAGCGCTTCCCACAATGGGTCCTTTGGTTTTTTTGTGGGCATCGCCTGGTGTTGTCAGTACTGGTCCCTGACCTCTAGAGCCACTTCCCATTCTCAGGGGCTGGTGAGAGGGGCTTTCAGAAACTACTTGCCACAGAAGGGGAGAGGCACCTGTGGGTTTGTTGTTGTCCCCACCCCGGGAGCCCACACTGTGGGCTGGAGGTGGAAGGCGATTCTCAGCCAGCCTGGCATCCCAGAGACCCAGCAGGGCCTTGGCTCTGCCACTTTATCCTGTTCTTCTTTCTCCTGGTCCTCCAGCTCTGGGAGGGCAGGGATGGGCTGAGCAGACCCCAAGGCCCCAGTGGAGTGGGCCAGACCCGAGTGCTGGGCGTGGACCAGGGGCTGTACCAGCTCTGTCCGCCTATGCTCATCCTTGGGCAAGTCATCCACACCACGGCTGCCTCTCCCTCCCTGCATGCAGGACTCCAGTGCCCACCAGGGAATGGGCAGTGTGAGGCCTGGGCCGTGTGGGGCTGGGCACCTGGTGATTAGTGCCATCCAGGGTCTGATCACCCCCTTGAACCCATGCCCCTACTGTGGGATCTGGGCAGGGCCAGCAAGAGCTGCCTGCTGAGGCCCATGGCTGAGCAGGCAGGGAGGGACAGGCTGCCTCTGTGATGGGGCCCAGATGGACTGAGGTGAAGAGGCTGAGGACAGGGAGAGTCTTGGAGGGCATGCACATATGTGTGCACCTGTTTATGGCACGTGTCTGCACAAGCCTGCAGGTGAGCACATATGTTCCTGTTTTGTATGTGCTGAGCAGGGAATAGCAGGGGCTGGGTGGTGCTGGATCTTCTCGGTTAGTGGGGCCTAAGGGGATTGGGGTTCAGCACACACTGGGGGACCTGCCCAAGGCTATGCCTAGGCCAGTCCCCCCACCCTGGGCCTCCACAGAGTATGGGGTCATCTCAAGGAACCTGGGGCTGGCAGAGACAGAAGCCAGTGCCTCCTCCGGGGGTCCCCGTGGCCTCAGAGGTCCCTGCCACACCCATCAAGACTAGGGAGTGGTGTTACACCCAGGCCTCACACCTCTTGGTCAGTGCCTGGCCTGGGACTTGAGCCTGGGCCCCTCCATTTGAGGTCTGGCTCCTGGGCCACCCCAGCCCCGCAAGGGCACCCAAAGTCACTCCTGGGGGACCACTCACCCAGCCTGGAGACTTCTGTGCCAAGCACCAGCCTCTCCCTGCCAGGAACCAGTACTCATGTTTATGGCCTTAGACTTTGGCTTTTCCTCTGGGACCCGCCCCTGCCTTCTGCCCCTGCTACTCTCACGGTTAAAGTCTCCCTCCACTCTCAGCCAGACCAGGGACAGCTGGGTCCCTTTCTGCAGGCCTTGCATTCATGGCAGTGACTGTGCTTTGCCAGTGTAGTATCTATTGGGCTGTGCTGATGGCAGAGTCAGAGGCTCAGCGACTTCACAACGTCTTTTTAATTTTGGAAAATTTCAAGCATTCACAAAGCAGAGACCCAAGCCACAAGCAGTGTTTTAGGACTTAGCTCTTAAACAATCAGACTTAAAGAGTGTGGCTGCATGGTCACAACTGAGAAGTTAGAATGAAGCCAGCAGCCCAGGGAGGCACATCTATGCTCTGTGCCCTGCCAGGCTCCAATGATCACTGAGAACAGGTGGCCCACACCTGCAGTCCCCACACTATGGGAGGCTGAGGCAGGAGGATTGCAAAGTCAAGCCTAGGCTGGGCAAGATCTGGTTTCAAAAATGAAAAGAACCAGGGACATAGCCCAATGTGAAGGCCCTGGGTTCAACCCCTGGCTCCACAGAAACAAACTAATGGTAAAGAGGGATATTTCAACACTAGGGGTCAGAAAAGTCTATTTTCACCCTGTTTTTTTGCTGCTTCCTAGATACTAGCACCCAGTCAGTGTTTAGGCTTCTCCCGTGGTATCCTAAGCATGCTGTTACCTCTGGTTTAGTCCATCAGGATGCCGGCCTGGCCCGAATACCAGGCCTGTTATGTAGGTTCCTGGGGCTGGGGAGGGGGGGCCTTTGAGTCCTAAGGAGTGTGAACCCTGGAGCTCCATCCCGATGCCTACCCCAGGCTCTCTCTTCACTGGCTTCTCCATGTTTCTCACATTCGCACAGGGCAGCATCCCGAGGGCCCATGGTGCCTGGAGTTCTGCTGCTGGCACTGCCGCCTTGGGCTTGCTGAGCACCGCAGGGTGCTGTGGGGTCACCTGGGGTCCCCCTACCTGAGTGCCCAGTGTGGCTGAACCCCGAAGTGTTGTGGTCCTGAATGAGTAATGGGGCCTCCTGGGGCCTCAATTTCCCTCTCTGTGAACTGGGGCTCATGACACCCACAAGCTGCTGGGGAGTGGGTTTGTGACACACAGTCACAGTGTCCTCAGAGCCTCCAAGCACAACTGTCTCGAGTCCTCTGCATGCCCCTCACGGTGATGTCACTCACACTGGGTTTTGAGAGCGCAGTCACCTGCCTGTTGCCCCAGCAGGCCTGGTGGGTACCCCTGCCCTGTTCACTGTATGACTCCTCCTTGGGCTGGGGCCTAGACCCGAGGTGTGTGGCTGGGAGGGGTTGCCCAGCGCCCACATCCAGCTTTACAGCCATAGGGGCTCCTGCCCGGATGAGGCAGCTGGGGGGCCTGGCGGAGATGGTGGCCAGCATGACTTAGAGGGCCAGAGTCGGGATGGGAGGTGGAGAAGGGGCCTGGGCTACGGACACAGAGGGCAGGGAATCTGGAATCTCCCCAGGGCAGCGAGGCAAGAGATTTGTGCTGAGCTGCAGGGGTCAGAGAAGAGGGGAGCGGCGCAGGTGAGCCCCCTGGAGGCGGTGGGTCTGAACCGGGTGGAGGTGGACAGAGCAGGGAGCCTAGTGGGAGGGGCGGGAGAGGGAGGCGGGGCCGGGCGGCGGTAGCTGTGAATCCTGGAATCTTGAGCTCAGACCCCGCCAGAGTTTGGCGTCTGAGCGCAGCAGCGTTGGCGTCGCTGACCTCGGTTCTCTCCCGAGCAGTGAGGCGCCAGGGTGGCTGCTGGGGAAGGGGCAACGCCGGCTCTGGGAGGGGGGAGAAGGGAGGGCGAGGGCGCGGAGGGAGCGGAGGAGGGTGGTGGGGTGCTTGTGATGGTGCCAGTGGGCCCTCTGGGAGGCAACCGGCCTGGGTCTCAGCGCTGGCTCCTGTGAGGACAAGGGCGACATCAGACCCTGCGGGAGAGATCAGCTGGCTCGGGGGAGTGGCTGGGGGCAGGTGGACGCGGGGAGCCCTCAGGAGGTGACCGGGCAGACGGTGACGAGAGTGATGTCTGGGGAGCGGAGGGACGTCATTGTCGGAGCGGGCACCAGGACCGAGATGGGTGAGAGGAAGTGGACGCAGAGGAAATGCAGTGGTGGTGGCGTCTGCGGGATCTAAGGGACCCTAACCCAGCACTCCACGACCCCCTTGCTGGGCACGAGCTGCAGGGTGTCCCCAGCTGGCTCGGAAGAGGCAACAGCCGGGCGCCAGGCAACGATGGAACCCCCCACCCCATTGAGAAGCCACGCCTCAGCCCTCAGCCCGGCAGCACGAAGCCAGCTGTGGTCCAGGGCTTGTTTCCTGTTGTTTCCCCGATTTTTAAGAACAGAGGGGGCTGGGGATTTAGCTCAGCGGCATAAGCACCTGCCTTGCAAGTAGGCAGTCATGAGTTCGATCCCTGGTACCGGTAAAAACGAAAAAGACAAAAAAAAAAAAAAAAAAAAGAACAGAGATGACACGCAGCGGAGAGTGGGAGCGTGTCCACACTGGCTGGGCACACGCAGCTTGTGGTCACTCAGTACTACGGGTACCTGACATCCCCAGCTGTCTACCTGGGACAGTTATCAGGGCTTGAAGTGCTCACCAGGGCATGCAGAGATCAACTCCCCTCTCAGATGTATCAGCCGAGTACGCTGTTTCGTTTATTCCTTTTAAATAAGTACATCAAAGTTTACAAGGGGCAGTCAAAACATGCTGTAAATGCTTACATTTATTATTTTTTAAAAATTAAAAAAAATCAGCTTGAGGCAGGTGAGGTGGATTTGGGTTCCCTCCCGGTTGTAGCACACGGTCAGTGTCTCCAGGATGGAAGCAGCATGGTAGAGGGGCCTGGTAGAGGACAGCTGCTCATGGCATGGTGGGCAGGAAGCAGAGAGAAGGGGGAGCTGGGAGAGGAGGCTTCCAGGGGGCTAGTTTCCCAGGGACCACCTGTGCTGACCGGGCCACGCCCCCTAACAGGAAGTTAGCTATAGCGTCCAGGTGACTCAGTTACCTTCCAAACAGGGCATAGGTGAGACCTTTGGGTGATGCTCCTGATCTAACCTATAACAAGGTCTTGTGCAGTGATAAAATTGTTTATTTACATATCTACCATACTATTTGAGCACTCCAGTTTGAACAAATGTCTATGGCAATTTCTGTTAAATAAAACCTTGATGCTATGGCCTTCCTCCTCCACCTTATTCACCAGACCTGGCACTGTGTAACTTCTGGCTCTTCCCCAAAGGCAGAATGACCATGAAGGAAAGTGATTTGAATGGATTCAGGACACGAAGGCAGTCAAGACAGAGCAACTAAAGACTCTCATGAAAGAGGACTACAGAGCTGCTGCAGAAAGTGGTGAGAACCACAGGATAAGGGTGTCCAAAGTGAGGGGAGAACTTTGCATTTTTTTTTTACTGTGATCATTTTAAGGACAAATTTCAACTTTCACCATATGTTTCACTGATATTTTCCACATGGCTATTTTCCTATTCCATTGTTGATGTCTCGGCCCACTGTGTAGGAAGGGGTCACCAAGGACTGCCCTATCTGTCTCCAGTGGACATTCATTTCCCTTAGGACCATGCCTACGGTAGAGCTGCCAGATCCAGTCCTGTGCCTGGGCTGGTGTTAACAGCAGATGTGGCCAGGTGTTTCCCAGAGTGCGGCCACTTCCTGTTCCTTCCTCTAGCTGAACTGGAGACCTGACAGCGCCGGTAGGAGTCCTCTGGGATTGTGGCCACTCCAACATGCTGTGAGGTCTCCCTTGAGTTTGAGTTTTTACGCTTCTGATGTCTGATGATGTTGCCGCATTTGTTTGCTATCCCAACTTCCTACTGGACAATCTTCTGGAGTCTCTTTACTCATTTTAAACCTGGTAACCTCTTTTGCTTATTTATTCCCAGGAGCTGCTTACCCGTTCTGTCTGCCTGACTGTTGTAGTCAGGGGTTGTGCAGAGAACAATTATAATCAGGACATGGAGTTTATAATATTATTTTTATGATGGTCACCCAGAGTTAACACAAGAAACTACAGGAAATCTGTCCACAACACTTAAGACATACACTATTTAGCCAAGGGCCTGAATTCCACAGCAACATCCCACAGGAGTCCAGATGAAAACCCAGAGCTCATGACAGTGCCTCCCATGAGTCCAACTGGAGGTCCAGATCCCACACCAGTCTCTTTTACAGATCTGTGCGCGGAAGGCCCAAAGGTCAGCAGTGGAAGCCAGAAAGTCTATGTCAGCAGGGTGAAGGAGCTGGGATGGTGGGTTGAGGGTTCTACGCTGGAGCTGAGAAGTCCAGCTCAAAACAAAGTCCACTCAAAACAAAGACCACAGGGCTGTCCTGAAGCGCACCACAGCCATCTTCAGCGACACGAAGGCCCCAAGCTCCTCCGACAACAAGCACAGTCCAGTACCTGCCAGGAAGCCAGTGTGCCAAGTTCATCCTGGAGACCAAATGGTACACATCTTCCTCTCTGAAGCCAGGAAGCAATGCTTAATGTGAGGATCAAAGCTTCTTCAGGAGAACCTAATGACTCAAACAGCAACAGGTGGGAGAACCCACAATACCTCACTGCCTCAACACATTAACACATTACCGCTTCAATGCATCTTAATGCCTAGCTTCTCCTTCTCCACATCTCTGTTTATGCTGGCAACTTTCCTCAGTGTGAGACATCTACACTCAGCAGCATGGTGATTTATTTCCAATGGCATTAAGTGAACCACCAGTTTTTAAGCCATAACACCGACCTCTGCCAGGTATTACAAATTTCAAGATAATTCTCCCAGACTGTGGTTTGCATTTTCCACTTCCCCTGGTATTTTTTTTTTTTTTTATCGGTACTGGGGATCAAACTCGTGACTGCCTGCTTGCAAGGCAGGCGCTTATGCCGCTGAGCTAAATCCCCAGCCCCTCCCCTGGTATTTTTTGATAAACAGAAGTTCTAATTTTAAGATGCTTCAATCTATTCACTTTTTACAGTTACTTGTGTCTGTGTGTGTCCCCTGTAAGAAATCTGCTTCTTCCAAAGTAGGATTTTTCTTATGTTTTCTTTCAGAAGTTGTTTTGATTTTTTTTTTGTCTTTTTGAGACAGAGTCTTGCTAGGTGGTTCAGGCTGGCCTTGGGCTAACTTTGTAGCCTGGGCTGGTCTTGAATTTGCAATGATCTGTCTGCCTCAGCCTCCTGCGTGCTGGGATTACAGGAGTGCACCACCACACCCAGCTCTAATTTTAAAATTTAAATCCATGAACCACTTTGAATTAACTTTTTGTGTGTTGAGGAAGAGTTGAGTTCAGTTTACTCTTTATTTTTTGTTTTTGTATTTTTTATACAACATCCAGTTGCCCCAGAACTATCTATCTATTTATTTTTTCTCTTTTGGAGACAGGGTCTCACTATGTAATTTGGGCTGGCTTTAAGCTCACTTTGTAACTCAGACTGGTTTTGAACCTCCAGTGATCCTCCAGCCTCGGCCTCCTGAGTGCTGGGATTGCAGGTGTGTGCCACCATGCTAGCTAAAACTATTTATTAAAAAATTTTTTTTTCTTTCTCTACTAAACCACAGCTGGTCCCTTGTCATAGGTCAAATTTTTGTGCATGGGGTTTGTTTCTCAGTTTTGTTTCATTGGTCTATTTGCCTATTTTTGCACTGTTTGAATTACTGTTTTTTACTAACTCTGAGGGTCTAGTTTAAATCCTCCAATTTTCTTAAAAGTTTTTGTGAGCCGGGTGTGGTGGCGCTCGCCTGTAATCCCAGCACGCAGGAGGCTGAGGCAGGATTGTTCAGAGTTCAAGACCAGCCTGGGCTACAAAGTGAGCTCAAGGCCAACCTGAACTGCATAGTGACACCCTTTCTCAAAAAAAAAAAAAAAAAAAAGAAAGGAAAAAGAAAAAGAAAAAGAAAAAAAGGGGGCGCGGGATATAGCTCAGCAGCATAAGCACCTGCCTGGCAAGTACCAGGTCCTGAATTTGATTCCCAGTACTAAAAAAAAAAAGTTTTCAAGGGTCTCTTAGGTCCTCTGAATTTCCATAGGAGTGTTGGAATTGGTTCATCAGTTTCCCTCCAAACAGACTGCTGGGACTTTGGACGGGATCGTACTGACTCCAGCGATAAAGACTTGCAATGAAGGATGCTGTCATGCGATAGGGATTCCTGACCCATAAACATAGCGTGCCCCCTTAGGAACATTCCCAGTCCCCAGCATGCTTCTTCTGGAGACCCCTCTCCAGCTCCCTCTCCTTGTATTCACTCCTTCTCTTTGCCCTCTGCTGGGGATGCCCTGGTCCCTGGCAGTGGCCACCCCCAGTGTTGTTAGGTGGCTGTGGCCTCCAGGGAAATGCAGAGGCCCTGGGGCCTTTGCTCTCTGTCTGTAGCCAGCTCTGCCATCTGCTCTCCGTGTGGTGCCCTTTGCTGTCTGCACGGGACATCTCCAGACCGCTAGCTGGCTCCCCAGGCTGTGGCCCAGGCAGTGAGGAGGTGGCAGTCTTCTCAGCCCCCCCCCCCCCCCCGACTGCTCTGTTTTTGGCCCTGTTCCCTTGAAGGACTCAGTCAGCAGAAGGACCCAGTCAGCAGAGCACAGATAGTGGGCTCCCTACCTAGCCACCTCCTTCTCCCACTGCCCTCCCTGCTCTTCAGACCCCTCTCCTCGGCCCTGAGCCCTCCAGTCTTCTTTATCTGTGTCTGGAAAACCCCGCCTAAATCCTCTGCACCCTTTTCCATTCTGCACTTTTCAATCTTATTTCTAAGCTCTAAGTACCCACTTTTCTTTCTCATTTGGTAGTGCTGGGGGTTGAACCCAGGGCCTACATGGAACGAAAGTCCCAGCCCTTTTAAAGATTTACTTGTTTACTTCGAGTCACTGAGTTGCCATGTCTAACCTTGGATTTGTAATCTTCCTATAGCAGCCTCCCAGGTTACAGGCACTGGCCACTACACCAGGCTCCACCATTGATTTTTGAGGTCAGGCCCCATCCCAGCTCTGCAGGGCATGACCCCGGCAGTAAGGGTCTCCTGTGGCACCTTGATTGTCCTGCCAAGTGGCTGATGACCACCCCTCCTTTGGGAAGACTCAGGGCAGGGGCAGCAGTTGAACTCGGTCTTGAAGTGAAAGTAGGAGTCTGTTGGATGAAATGGGTGTGGTGAATGCAGTCCTGTCCAGTCCTTGGATTGGAGAGATAAGGAAGGAGGGAATGGCTTTGGTAGGAAGCACTTGGAATTTTGCCTTGGGGGACTGTGGGATAAGAGCACAGAGTGATGTCAGAGGGAGCTGGGTTCCAATCCCAGCATTGCATTTTAGTAGTGCAGAGACCTTGGGCATGGGATTAGCTTGAGGCACGCATGTGGCCTCCTTGGCTGGGGTGAGGGCAGAGTAAATGGGGTTACCCCGCACGGGGCACATCACTGACACCCACTGGTGCCTTTTGCTGGGACAACCTTGGATGTCCTTGAGATCAGAAATGAGAACACCCAACCTCAAAGCCACACTGTTTATTTGCCCCTATGGTATGGGGCACATGTGACGCCAGGGTCTGTGACAGAGGTAAGGTGTCTCCTGTTCCCTTGGAGATCCAGCTGGTTCCTATGGTTACTGGTAGGGCATCCTTGATCCTGGGCAATGGGGAAGGGAGGGAGCCCTGAAGAGTACAGGAGGGTCCCTGGGTGGGTGGCCCCTGCCATGCTGCGTGGGGCGAGGGCAGCATCTCCAGCTTCCTCTGCAGCCTGCTCTCCCTCAGGCAGTGGGCAGGGCCAGAGTCAGGACCAGCTCCATTCACAGGGGAAGCAGGGTCTCAGGAAGAAGGGGCGAGGCCAGCCCAGACCCAGGATTGCAGGGAGCCCAGAACCCTGAGGGACCCTGCTCTGGTTTCCAGGCTGTGGATTTAGGGTGGGGATTGAGGTCGATGTGGTGGCATGGACAGAGCCAAGGTCACCTGTACCTCTCGGGAGCATCAGGTCTTGGAAGCCAGATGGCCGGGCCAGCAGCACAGGGCATGGAGGGGTGAGGGGCACACACTCAGGACACCCAGCTGGTGTCTTTTGAGAAGGAGCCCTGGGAAGGTGTAGACAGAACCACCCTTGCTGGGTTCTCCGTCTGGGCCCAGAGGGATGGGGCAGGGTGGCTGGGCAGGAGAGGCTGGCTGAGAGGAAAGGTCAGCCTTTGGGGTTGCACTGGCTACTCAGAGGACTCCTTGGGGACGTAGGCCACGTTGTCGTAGGCAGGGGGTGGGGAGGCGGCTGGAGTAGGCACCATGAAGTCAGAGCTGAAGGCGCTGGGCAGGAAGATCACCGACTGTAGGGAGAGAGAGTGGGATACTGGTGGGCTCCAGGCTCCGGCTGTGCCCATATCTGCGCATCCAGATGTTTTTCCAGTGCTGGGATTGAACCCAGGACCTACACACTGAGCTACAGGCTGAGCCCTTCTCTGCTATTTGAAACAAGGTCTCACTATGTTGCTGAGTTTCCCAGGCTGGACTGGAACTTGCAGCCCTCCTGCCTCAGCCTCCCAGAGTGCTGGGATTACAGCTGATATTTTGCACAGCCTACAGAGGCCTGGTCTTGGGCCTGGGCAGCTTCCTGTGTTGGACAGACCCTGTGTTGGACAACATTGTGGGCAGCTTCCCAGAGCCAGTGTCCCCAAGGGTCCTCACCCCAGGCAGCACCCCCTTTGCTGCGCTCTGCCTGGTCCTCCGGGCCCAGGTCCACTTCCTTATGGAATGAGCCTGGCCAGCAGGAAGATCCTTTCCCTCCCTGCCTTTTGCCCTCCCCTCCCTGCTCCTCCTGGTCCCTCCCTCGCCCCGCCCCTTCCTTTATTCCCTTCCCCTCTTCCAGGCGGGCAGTCGGCCTCGCAGGCGCAGGCGTGGGCCTGCAGGGGGCGCTCCCTACCCCGGCCCTCCTCACCAGGCCTGTCCTGTGTTCCCCACGCTCACCGCATTGGCCTGTGTGCGCGCGGCCTGGCATCCAAAGTGGGCGGCAACCACTGCAATGAAGAACTCCAGGATGGTGAAGATGGTCAGCACTGCCAGGTAGCCCCTGCCCACGTCCTGGGGATAGAGCCTCATCATGGAGCCGGCTGGGCGCAGCCCCAGCGCAGCGTCCCTGTGCCCTCCCCACCCTGTGGTGACCGCGGGCCACGGGTTACCCAGCTGGTGACGCCGAAGTCCATGAGCAGCACTGCTGTCCCTGAGAAGGCGGCCGCGGCACTGAGGATATTGGTGCCCAGGCCGCTCCTCACCTGCGGGAGGGACGTGAGGGGGAGAGACAGGGACACAGGGACAGGACGTAGGAGCCTGGCCTGCTGTGTTTTTTCCTGGAGTCTGGCTGTGTTTTTCTCTGCTTTTGGTGGCACCAGGGACGGAACCCGGAACCATCCCACAGATACATTCCCAGCCCTTTCCATTTTTCTTTGGGAGATACGATCTTTCTAAATTGCCTAGGCTGGACTTGAACTTGGGATCCTCCTGCTTCAGCCTCCCAGAGTGTTGGGGTGACTGGCATGTGCCTCAAGGCTTCTGCACTGGTGAGGGGTGGTCTCCCTTGGCCTGGCTGGGTGGGGCTCGCACAGCCCCCTCATCCCAAGCCCAGGCTCCTTCAGCTCCCAAGTCTCCTTGCCCTTTCCCTCTCCAGGTCCTGGCTCCTCCCCCCACTGCAGCAGCTCATCTGCTCTCATAGGCTCCTCTTGGGGTGGACACAGGTGGTTCCTCTGTACACCCTGACTTACCAGGCAGTTGGCATGGCTCCTCTCAGCAGCCACGGACAGGGATCCAGACAGGATGAACTACGGGGAGGAGGTGGGTGTGAAGGGCCCTGCCCGGGGACACAGGCTCGGCCCATAGCGAGGTGTCCTGGGTGTTGAAGGTGTGCACAAGGGTCTGGGGGCTCCTAGCAGTAGTGTCTACTCCAGCAGCCCTGAACCCTCTTTCTTCTGGGGACCACCGGGTCCTCACGTGGTCCTTAGCACCACTGATCACTGTGGCCAGGGCTGGGAGGAGAAGCCAGGGCCTCTGGAGCAAGTCAGACCCTGATGATGAGCCCAGGAGTGCTGGACCCTCAGGGGCTACGGGGCCATCAGGGGTCAGAAAGGGAGGAGGCGTGGGAAGCAGGTGTCACAGGTGCAGGCCTGGCTGTCACCCATCTTCCCATTGCCAGGTAGCCTTACTGGCCAGGAGCTCCCTGACACAGGAGGGGGTCAGGCAGGGGTCATGGCAAGGGCTGGGGTGGGGACCGATGTGCCTCCACTCACACAGGATCCTCCCCAGAAGGGGACACCACCCTGGATAAAGAGCATGCCCAGGTGTCCGCGGCGGACCATGAGCAGCACACTGCCGAAGCCCAGGTGGATGAGGCCGATGAGGATCTGTACTGTCTGGGGTGGGGGTAGAGGTAGGGGAACAAGGACTCAGCCAGCACTGCACACCCCTGGCCCAGTTCCCACAGTCCCCATGAACCCCCAGACCTCCCCAGATCCTGTTTTTCTGAGGCAATAGATTTACAAGAAAGCCATCTCCCCACACCCCCAGGCTGCAACCCTGCAGGCTGCAGTGGCCGAGCCCCCATCTGTGCTGAACCCTGCCTCTGGTCTGACCCCTGTGCCCTTCCTGTGCCCCACTGCTGGCATGCAAGCCTCTCCTTTAGCGTTTTTGTCATTTTCTGGTGTGCCTGATCCGTCTTGGGGAGGGGAGCTGCCAGGGGCTCCACTCAGTTTGTTTTAAGATGAGATCACATCTGAGGGCTCTGAGCACAGGAACGACCCTTGACAGCGGTGGAGCTGTTGGCTGCTGGGCCACAGTGGCACCTGGAGAGGGAGCTGTGGGAGACCCAGTTTGTTCCATCCTAATGGAGGAGCTGGGTGCTTGAGTCTCAGTTCTGGAAACCAGGACACCAAGGCTCAGGAATGCTTAGCAGCTCACCAGCTATGAGCCGCAGGCTAACTGTGCAGAGCAGCATCTTCCCTGGGCGTTGCTCCCTGAGAGCACCCGTGTTTCCTGCAGTCACCAGATGCCTTTGTGGGGTTCTGGGATCCTGGCTCCCCTCAGAGGTCTCACAATCCCAGCAATCGGTGCTCCAATTTGTTCACCATCTCCAGCTCCTTGTGCAACAAGGAACCGTGATACAGCTTTTGTACATGGGTACAGTTCTGCAGACCATCAGGTCTGAGCCAGACAATATGGGGTTTAAAGTAGAACTTCACAGTCAGGCTGTCCTAGGTGGTGGGATGCCACCTACCAGTGTGCAGTCTGGGGAGAGTGGCCGCAGTGTCCTAATCTGTGCAATGTGCTATGTGCTATGACCTCTGTCTCACAGGTGGCTCTGAGAACCTAGTAAGTCCACACTTACACTGTCAGTGTAAGTGTCACAGTGTCACACCTGTCCAGGACCCTTCATAGACAGGAGCTGCCATTACCATCACCCCCTAATCATCATCATCACCACCCCTACCATCATCACCATTACCACCACCATCATCATCCCCACCCCCACCCCTGCCATCATCACCACAATCACCCCCTCACCCCCACCATCATCATCACCACAACTACCACCACCACTATCACCACCATCACCATATCATAACCATCATCATCAAAACTGTTTTCATCTTTCACATGGGGGGAACTGAAGCCAAAGAACCAAGGCTGTATGAGCAGGCATGTATCAGCCAGTCTTCCTACTCTGAGTTCCTATTAGTACACTGCCCCCCAACTTATGCACCACTAAGCCCAAACCCGCTTAGGAGCACACTTTTGTAACAAACAACAGGGTTCCAGCCTAACACAATCAAGTGAGCTGCAGCCCATCACAGCAACCCACTGACCAGACTGTGTCCGAATTGAGCAGGTCATATCCACAGGGCAGCTGTGGCCCTGTAGTCATGTCTCCTCTCTGCTTCTCGGGGTCAAAGCTCATTGCATGTGCACATGGTCAGGCCAGGCTCTCTGGGCCTCACCTGTCTGAGTTCGGGCAGACTTGTGAGTCATTCTGTGTTCAATAAACTGTCGGTTTTAATTAAAGTTTTTCTTAAGCAACAAAGTGTGCATATCTATCTATCTGTCTATCTATCTATCTGTCTATCTGTCAATCATCTGTTGTGGTCTGTGTCTAGATGTTCCTTCAAAGTCTCATGGGGTCACAGAAGTTTTTCAGAGGTGGCTGAATCTAGAGCGTGTGACTGATTCACACTGCAGTGCTGGGATTAAGGGTGGCTGACTGCTGGATCTGTTCGCTGATTGGTTGGACACCATCTTAATCCTGACAGACTGAATACTGTATATGGGACAGAGAGAGGCTCGTCTCTCTCTTGTGGCTTTTGCTTCTGCTGCTGTGAACTGTTGCCCCTCTGCTATGTGCCACCCAGCCTTGGAGCCAGCTGATTATGGAATAAGACCTTCACAAACTGTGAGCTAAATAAACCTTTCCTTCCTTAACTTTAGGTGTTGGGTATTTTCTCTCAACGAGAAGAGTAACGAAGATTCTATCTATCTATCTATCTATCTATCTATCTATCTATCTATCTGATATCCATCCATCCTTTCATTCATCCATGCACTCATCCATCCTTTTATCTGTCCATCCACTCATTCACTCATACTTTCATTCATCTTTTTCCATCCATCCATCCATCCATCCATCCATCCATCCATCCATCTGTCCATGCATCTGTCCATGCATCCTCTTATTTGCCCCCTCTTTTGAGGCCATCTGGGACTGCAAAAGACCTTGCAGCCACCTATCATGAACTGTCACCCTGCAGGAGCTGGCTCTCCCTGCCGCTTCATCTTCTCTTCGCCTTCCTCCCTCGTCCCTGACCCATAGCACTGCAGGTGTCAACCTCCTGTATCCCCTTCAACAGGACCTCCTTTCCCACCTCCGGGCTCCCTGTCCCTGGAGACTGTTTCCTCAGTTGCCTGATCATCCTGGCTGCCTCCCACCTTACTCCCAGGCTGTGGTGTCAGTGTTACCTCCTTGGGGAGAATTTTATGTCCACCCTTGCTAGAGTGTCAGCAGTCTCAGCTCTGTCACCCCCTCGGTGCTGTGAGTGTAACCCTGGTGAAGGAGCCTCTACCTGGCACACAGCTGAGGCCTCCCTGGCATCTGTCTGCCGCCAGCCCCCTCTCCCGTCCCCTCCCTGCCCAGCATCTGCACCTGAGGTCACTGGATGCCAGGATGTCAGTCTTACCCCTAAGGCTTTGGGCTCTCCTGTCAGGAACGTCTCCACAGGACGCAGATCAGGTGGCTGGGTGGCCCGGGTCGCCTGCGTCCCTAGTGTTGGCTCCTCAAACTGCATGACCCCGGGAGGCTGGCACAAGGAGGTGGGCAGGACGGCTGGAGGTGGGTGGAGGCCGCTGGCATTGCTGGGGGGGATGACAACAAAGACCCCATTGCTGGCAGGAGGGGTGGACATTGTGCAGGGTGAGCCCGGCAAACAGAGGCTGGGGAGACAGAGATTGCAAAGGTGGTCACACATTTTTTTTTTTTTTTTTTTTTAATTGGTACCAGGGATTGAAATCACAACCGCCTCCTTGCAAGGCAGGTTCTTATGCTGCTGAGCTAAATCCCTAGCCTGGTGGTCACCCATTTGCACCTGCTTGTCAGTGCACAGACAGTGGGGTGGCCTGTCTTTGTTGATCCATCACTGCTGGGGGAGCTGAGTACTGGAGGTGAAGTTAGATGAGAGGAACCTTTGCAGGATTTCGGGTTTAACCTCTACCTGCCCAGAGAGGGTAAGTGGCTCCCTGAGAATACACAGTGAGAGGCAGGCAGAGTTGCTCATGCCCTCTTTTCCCTGAGACCCAGACCCCGCCTGTGTGTCCTGGGCAATAGGGGTTGTGCCGTTTACTTGGTGACTGTCTGATCTGTCCTGGATGCTGGCTTGTGCAAGGGTTGCACTGGACCTTTGGCTGGGAGACAGAGAGAGGCTCCCCACAGGTTGTGGGGAGAAGTGTGACTGGAGATGGCAGCACAGAAAGGCCCCGGAAACACAGGGCCGAAACCCGCAGGCCTCCTGTGTGCTGTTCCCTGTAAGGATCTGGATCTTATATTAGGGGTGACTGAAAAAATACAGTGAATGCTCAAACAAATAAAATACTACAGTGAAAGACAGATGGCCACGAATCCCCTCCAAACCTCCTCTCGCGTCTGCACACTCGTCCTCAGTCCTTTCTGCAGCAGCTCAGGAGTCCTCTTCCCTGAGGGTCATTAGGTGCACTGCTGCAGCTGCTTTGATGTCCTGAACTGATTCAAAGTGTTGACCTTTCATAGTCATTGTGACTTTGGGGATGAGGTGGAAGTCTCAGATGTGATGAAGAAGGTGGGGAGGACACAGTGTCTTGTTTTTGGCACTGCCTTTTCATGAAATGGCTCTTGGTGGCAGCATTCACTGTATTTTTGATTATACCTTGTAAAGACCCAGGAGAGAGTGTGCATAATTAGCAGCCTCTCACCTGGGCCCAGGCGAGAACCTGACGGAACAGAGGCCTCAGAGGCCGTGTGATCCTGGGAGAGAGAAAACACCTCCCAAAATAGGTTTTCTGCCGAGAGGCAGGGATGCAGTGTTGCTGTTTGGGGGCTTTCGGGGCCTCTCTAGCCCACAGCCACAGCTGAGGCAGGGACTGACCTGGCTGGCACATGGGCCTGTCCTAGTGCTATCCAGCTAGAGGATGCCTGGCTCTTACTGCCATCTGTGGGCCACCATGCCCACGTGGCTGGGAAGCCCAGGAGGAAAGGGGGGGTAGAAGGGGTTGGGGGTGCCTCAGGCGACAGCTGCGTGCAGTGGACAGACCTGGCCATCACCTGTGGTACGCAGCATTGCTGGAGGAACAGCAGCAGTCCCTCACATGCTCGGGTGCCCACCCAGCACTTTGTGGGCCTCACCGTGGCCAGGGTGTACAGGGTAGGTGGGGCCACTGTGGGCCTGCAGAGCTAGTGCGTCTGTCAGAGACAATACTGTTCAGGTTTCAGCCTGGTGCAGCGGCACAGGCCTAGAATTGCTGCACATTGGGAGGCTTAGGCAGGGGAGTGGCCAGGGAGCCCAGCCCGGGTAACAGTAACTTAGGGAGACCTCATTTCAAAATCAAGACTGGCAACTGGCAGGTTCATACCTTCTGGTGCCAGGTGCTGAGCTGGGCTGGGGTGACCTGCGCCCTGTGCTGAGTGGTGAGGGGAGTAGCAGTGAGTCCCAGGGTGGGGTCCACCAGCCCACCAGACCCTCACAGCTGGTGTCACCCTCTGTCCCCTTCCAGGAAGGAGTGGAGGGGAGGGGGGAAGCAACAGGGGAGAGGAGGAGTAAGAGGAGGGGCGGGGAAGGGGTGGTAGAAAGGTGACCCCAACTTCTTCCTCCCCACCCACCTGAGGACCGCATTGCCCCATGGTGCCTACCTTAGCCCACGCTAAGGATCCTGTGAAGTCCCCTCCCCCTCAGCAGAGGAAGCTGAGCTCTAGCACCACCACAGTGTCCTGGAGGAGGTGGCTTTGTCCGGAGTCGAAGCCAAAGGATCACCCAGCAAGCACCTGCCCCACCCCACAAGCTGGTGGCCTCTCCAGCCTCAGTCTCTCCATCCATCAAGTGGGTGTCTGTGCAGTGAGAGGGTGTGAGGTGCTCCAGGCCCCAGGGATACCCGGCCACTGTGTCCCCCACTGTCTGGGCCCTCTACATGATCACTGGGGTCTGACCTGTGGCATCTGGTGTCATCTCTGGAGGTGACAGATGGTAATGCCCTGGCCCATCCAGTGGGCTAGATACATCCCTTGCCTGGTCCTTGAAGACCCTGCCTCACCACTGGGCTCTGGTGGCAAGGACCTCCTCCCCTGGGTCTCCTCTGATGCTGGCCAAAAATCCCTGCAGGGTCCCCCTGCCCCTCTTGGACCCTTCAGGGCCAGGCTGGGTTGAGGCTCCATTTCCCTGGGAGCCAGGCCAGGGCTGGGGTCCTTGGGGCCCTCAGTCCTCTTGGACTCTTCATGGGGAAAGGTGATGCCCCACCTTCTCCCAGCTGGGTCCCCCTGCATCCTCCCCCTTCAGTGTCCATGTGGTCTGAGACCCTGACCCAAACCCCTGCCCAGGATGCCCCCTTCCCTGGTCCCTGGGGCCACGGGACTCACCTGGAGCTCTGTGGCCGCTGTGCCTGCATCTCTGCCCTGGATTCACACTTCTGCTCCAGGAGCTTGCGTGTGAGTCCCTGTGCTGCAGAGCCTTCATTTGCCCCTCCCTGTGAGGGTCACAGCTTCCCCAGGCTGTCCTCTACCTGTGCTGCTCAGGGAGGGGCCGCAGACCCCACGGCAGTGGCGCAACAGAAGGTGGGGGTGAGTGTGCACACGTGTGTGTGCGCGTGCACACACATACAGGGTGGCATTCAGGTGGTGCAAGTGGAATCTGCACAACAGCTCTGGGTTCCAGTACTCCCCAAAGCAGCCCTGGGCCCCAGGGCAGGGTCAGGACCACCCAGGTTTGCCCCTAATATGCCCTGGTCAACTGTGAGCGGATTCAGGTTTGAGCAGCAACCCCTGGGCCTGCACCTCTGTGGATCCACTCCAACTGTGGCCAGGGCAGGGTTCCTGTCCCCAAACCCTGGGACATGGCTGCTGGACTTTCCTTGGCCACCTGGCCACTGCTTGTGCTGTGGAGACTTAGGAGAGCTCAGGACCCCTGGGTCTTGGCCGTCTGGGCTGGGAGTCTCCTGGCAGCTACGGAGAACCTGGCCCCAAGCTGACTGCTAGCCCAACACAGATGCCTGGAGGAGTCTGCCCTGTCCAGCCTGGGTCAGACCTGAACTGCCCAGGGGACCATGGGTAGGGGAAAGCTTCCTGCAGTGGCCACCACTTCTCATTCATGGTGCTTTTGTGGCCACAGTTAAGCGAAGTGAGCCTTTCTTTCTGGTTCTCTCTCTCCATCCCCCTTTTGTCTTTTTGAGACAGGATCTACCTGTGGAGTTCAGTCTGACCTTGAACTCACTATGTAGCCCACGATGGCCTTGAATTCACAGCGATCTTCCTGTCTCAGCCTCCCAGGTAGTGGGATTATAGGCTGTACCACCATGCCTGGCATCTTCCTGGTAGTCTCCTCTGCCAGGTCAGCAACCGTCAAGGCTGGGGACTGAATGGCATCACCAAGGCTTAGAAAATGGGACCCAGAGGGTGGCGCTGTGGTGCCCTGAGGGCTGGGAGTGCAGGAGCCAGGGCTCCTCTGACCTGCTCGTCCCTCCTGCCTCTGCTCCTCCTTCTGCCCTTTGCAGTTCCCTGCTCTCTGCTGTGTCACCGACCAGGGAAGAGGAACTATACCGGGGGCCAAAGGTCAGTGTCACTGCAGTCCAGGCCTCCAGCTGGTCTCCTGCGCCTTCCACCTCAGTTAGCACCGGTGACCCTGTGGGGACAACCTCACTCCTCTCACGGGAACCTGCCGCCCCCCAGCGGGCAGCCCCAGGTCTCGCTTCTGTCTGAATGCTGCATAGATGAAGAATCAGGCCTCCTGGAGACTTCCTTTGTGGGCCCCAGTCTTACCTTTGAATATCTTTTCTCCTGCTAATCTGTCTACTACCGCTGATTTTAACACATGATCACAGAGACAGAATTCTAACAATGAGAGGTGAAGTTTCAGTAAGTAAATTAGAGCAAAGTAATTTGCAAATGGGATAGGGACCAGGAAATGGAAGAGGGAGGGGTGAGGAGGCATAAAAAGAATTAAGACGTGTTAGGGGCAGGTGCCAGCGGCCCACAATGCACATCCTTCTGTAGTCTACCCCTGTACTAAGGCAAACATTAAAATAAGAATTGGGAGCAGAGGGGGAGAGGAGCAGGTCAGAGGTCAAGCCCAAGGCTCAGCCCCATGCGCCCCACCTGTGAGCTTCAGCCAGCCCTGGACTTGGTGCCCTAGTGGTTTGGGTCCTGGAGGCAGAGAACCCTCTGGCTGTGACTTGACTCATTCCGTGCTTTTCCTCTTGAGAGTGCTTGGTTCTTTCTGGTCAATTTCCACGTTTCACAGCAATAGGCCCGCCCCAGCCAAAGATGGTCAGAGATTTATTTCCTCCCTCCCTCCCTCCCTCCCTCCCTCCCTCCCTCCCTCCCTCCCTCTCTTCTTTCCTTCCTTTCATCCTTCCTTCCTTTTTTCTTTCTTTTTGGCACTGAGAATTCAACTCATGACCTTACGCTTGCCAGGCAGGTGCTTATACCACCAGAGCTTTATTTTAAAAAGATAATTTGGAGGCCAGGAGTTTCACTCCACTGCAGGCACTCGGTGGGCTTCTCTTCTCCATGCTGGAGTTTGCTCCTTTCTTGGCTATAGTTTTCTTACAGACAGCAGCGTATAGATGGCGTTGCACAGTGTGTGACATTTTAGGCTTAGCTCTTTAGCTTACAGTGGTGCCCCTGAGAATCAGATGGTTGTGTGTACTGAAGGTAACCAGAATACGCCTCTTTGACCTGAGATCTACCTTGAGCTA